TTACGGTAGGAGGAAATTTCCTCATGACTGGTTCTGCAGCAAGGTGAAATCGATAAAAAAAAAGACCTGAGGTTGGCTGCACAGATTACTGGGTAAAAGGAATTTTATGTTCGAGTCGAGTTGCGACACCGATTACGACATGTCGCATTTCGGGGGGACATATATACTCGTTTTATTAAGATTTATGTTATTCCTATCATGACTTGACCCTTGAAAACAGGTTGTTTCAGAGAGGGGCGAAACAACATGGTCGATCCCTGGACTGGCCATTATGAGCTCTGAGATTCGAGTTATCGAGGGTTGACTGTATATAAATGCCGTATAAAATTTCTGATGAACTCATGAAACATTTGCAAGTGCCTGAATCGGCCATGTGAATGGAAAAATCACGTGATTGAAATTCTTAATGAATCCTTATGATAACTAAAGAAGTTTAGTTCGATCAAGAGTTGGTTTTGAAAAGCGAATCTGGAAGTTTCGAATTTAATTGTTTAATTTGAATTTTCTTATAGACACTTGAGCCTCCGTTTTTAGTTTTTTCTTCCAGCGATTTATCCTCTGGTTTATACTAAGTATGCATATATTTGAATCAATCTATTTAAATGGTCATAATATTCCATTTCCACATTTCAATAAGAAAAAAAAAATAAGCCTTCAAATAAATAAATTCGAAAATATTTCGTACTGACTGCGACCCCATAAAGTTGGGGGGTATGTATATTTTGATACTCTGTACCGATTATGAAGAAAATGAAATCAATAATTGAAAATTAAGGAAAATCAAGACTGCTTCCATCGTTTCCTCTCACCGACTGGATTTTTCGCCTCTTCTGCGACAAAAAAGTAACATCAGCAGCCCATATTCAACATTGATGAGAAGGGCTTCCTCTCGAAAAGGCCCCCCCAGCTCGCTTTGTTGTGGGCCAGTCCATTTTCGCCGTCGGCTCCGCTGAAAATGGCCGGATCCATCCATCATTAATTGAAGAAGCCGTCTCCGAAAAGCCTTTTGGATCGGGCCATCAAAGGCACGAATGCCATTAAAGCCGGTTTGGGAGAAAAAAAAGAATAAATTTTAGGCAGCAGGGCCTTCAAACTACACCTTCAACCCAAATTTTATTTGTACAAATCTCACGAGATGTAAATGAATCGAGATTACTATAGTAAGTCGAAAATTCAACAATCAAGTCAAATGCTCAGCGCGGTCCGATGAAATGAAATAAATCGTCATTCACGAAAGAATGCGGGAACGGTTGGTGGTCTTGTGCTCCCAAAAGGAGAAATCGCGATCCTCTCCTCTACTTGACACGTTCCAGAAGAAGACCCAGAGTTGACACGATTTAATTTTTCTGCAACGAGCAATCTTCGCATTTCTTCGGGCAGAAATTCTGCACGAAATTATTCCTGTGCCTCCTCATCCCTTTCTCAAAGTTCCTTCTTCGACCAAAGAAATTGCCTCCCTTTGGGTAAATGATCCAGCATCCCACGCAGCCCCTCGTACACCCCCGTCGCCGCCCCCCACTGCCCCCGTCGCCCCCCGTCGCCCCCCGGTCCCGAAATCTGAAAGCTTTCTCAGTCGCTCACGAGTGGAGGCAAAAAAGGAATAGCTTGAGCCGAAAGCAGCCAGGCATAAGAAAAGCGGATGAGTGCCCGAATGAAGCTGCCTGCCAGTCTGCCTGTTTGCTTGCCAGTCTGCCTGACTCCGTCTTGTCTAAAGGCTCACCTCTATTATTAATATATTCAGCCTCTGGAATGTCAGAGTCTGCCTAGGGCATGCCATGCTTTCTGGCATCCTCTTTTTTTTCCACCTCATTTGTCATTCCTTTTTTTTGTTCCATTTTTCCCCCTCTTTTTTCTTTCTTATCGTTTATCTGTACGTCTTGCTCGATTGTATTCACTGCGATCTGAAGCGTGCGGTCTCCATCGATCGCGAGCTTCCATTGCGATCTGATACGTCATCTTCCATCACGATCGCTCGATCTTATATACAGGAATGCAATTTCATTTCGTCTGGCTCCTGTGCTGTTGGCACAAATGAAAAAGAGCAGGCCGCACTTTTTTTACTTGCATTGCCAGAACGAACTCGAGCGACATCGTTCGACTCCTCTAGACGCACCAGCGTTTTGTTCAGGACATTTCGACTGCACTCAGCGACCTCATATTTTTCCCCTTTCTCCCTTTTCCCATTTTTCCCTCTTCCCCTCCTCCCCTTTCTCCTCCTCCTGCCACACCAGGCAATGAACAAACCGGGGATTGAGCACAATCTGAATTTAATTATTGTGATAAGTTGAATCTGATTCATATCTCCAAGCAAAATAAAATAATTATTAATGAGAGTGCGAAATACAATTTCATTTTTACAATAAACCCAGCTTTGACTAATCGACGAGGAAGCCCAACGCCTCGTGATGGTGCTAATTTATCTAGGAATTACCTTCCATTTTCAAGTTCCCAGATGAAGTTCGAAAACAAATCCATGTCAAAACGCTAAGAAACTTCGAAGAGGAACCGAAAAGATGCCACATCCGTTTTTCTTCCCTGTCGTGTCAAATCGAAAGCAAAGTTCGCTTCGTTTTCGGAGATCACGAAGAGTTGAAATATGAAATGTTGTGTTGTGGTAGGTCTGGTACTGTGATAGAATAGATAAAAATATGTTTGTTCATTGGTACTGCAGATAAAATAATTTTTATGGCTTTCTCTTTCATATTCTTTGCAACCACAAAGTGCCAACAATGGAAAATGAGAAATAAATTTGCACACTTTCAATGGCAGTCAATGTCGAAATGAGATCACAGGGGCAGAACAGAGGCTGGAAGGCTGCTCGCCTGCTTCGCGGGTGCCTCCCCAACTCATCTCGTCTCTGAGGGAAATGATTAATTGAGAGAAGATCTAATCTCTCTCGGTCACTCATTCTGATCGATCGGGGAATGAAACGGTCGTCATGACATGAACGTACGTTCTATTTCTGACTGATTCTTTGAGTCTCATTCGCATGCAAAGCCCTTCCATCTCGTGAGACCTGCATGAAACTGCTTCTACGTTGTGGTAGATTTGCATATAATTCGGTTCACGTCCTCTTCCTCTGTCTTTTCTTGAAGGCATCCGAGTTCATCAAGATAAAAATGCACGCAATTAATTTTCCTGTTCCTCCTCCTTCTGTACTTCTTGCACAATCGCCAACCCGAAGGAAAAAGGCGCACTAGGCAGAACTCCGGGAACCCGGCGCATATCTATGGCACAGCATTTCTCGCTCAACCCCCCTCCTCCTTCTCCTTCTCCTACCTACTCCCTCCCCCTCCCCCTTCTCCTTCTCCTACCTACTCCCTCCCACTCCTTCTCCTCCCCCGTTCCTTTACCCCAGTCCCCCCTACTTCCTCCCCCACATCCCCCATCATAAGAGCCGCTTCCAAGGGCACGCATGGAGCTAGCGCCTCCCCCCCCACTCCTTCCTCGTCAAAAAGCTGCCATAAAGCTGAGCCCTGAAGATCCTGCATAATTCCGTCCTTACAAATAACCTAATGGCAAAAAAAACGACAAGAACGAAATCCAACCTCTTTCATTTCGATGTGGATCTCTGGATTCTTTCAGCTTGGAAGGATCGATGGAATCTTTCCAGACCCACAGATCCATACGCTAATAAAAGGACATTTTTTCGTTTTGTGAAGAAAAAGAAATTGCGCAGGGATCTGATTTACAGCCAGACAGAGGGCACAGCGCCATTCTGCCAGACTGTTACAGCAAAGGAATCGGGGTCGCAATGGCTCCGAAGGAAAAGGAACTGCGCTCCGTTTCCGACGTTCCTTCCTGAGGAAAAATTCCTCTCCCAATATTTTCCCCCCCTGGGGTGAGGTATTAACGAGAAGCTGGGTAAATGTTTTATCTCCAACTATACGAAATTGCACAAATCGCAATACGGAATAAAGGAAATTACAAAGAAAAGGACTGAAGTAAAAAACAAAATTATGCCTGGGGAGTCGAGTCTCCCGAAGGAATATCATATCGCACATTTTTAAGGGAAGGAATTTCAGATCTGGCAGGATGCCACGATCCTGCTACCCCCCCCCCTATTCCCCCCATCCCTCTCCCTCCCTTACCTCTCCATTTCTCGGCAAAAACCAATAATGGAATTATTACATATAATTGCTTTGAAAACCAGTATCCATTTTTACTGTCTAAATTGGAATATATGGGAGGTGACGATCGCCGGGCTCAAGGTAAAAAAAAAGTGAAAAACTTTGAGAATCCCTAACTGTAACATGCAGAAAAATGAAAAATAACGAAAGGAGGTCGTGCGTTCGATTTCCTCCCCCAAAATTGAGTGGCGTAATATTTGAACAAATTTGAAGTAATGTTTAAATGACTCCTCATGTGCACTTGCGTCACCTTCATGCCTAAGCAGAGGAAAGCGGGGAACCGCAATTTTCACAGCGTTATCGTCGCGATTACGACATTCAGAACTCAATTCGAATTTCCATCCGGATTTCCAAAGTCGAAATCCCGCCAGTTTTTCCAGAATTATGCATGCAAAAGTCCACAGCCTCATTGAATTTCTGACATCGGTTCTCTGGAATCAGGGTTTCTGGCGCGACGATTCTTCCCCTTTGCATCGGTAGCTTCGGACGGATTCCGAGAATTCCCTGGGAAAAGTGTCGGATCTCACCGCGTTATCACCTTCACAGAGCCGAAGAAACGGGCCCTCCCGCGGAATGCAGGCGGCGAAGGACGATCGCGTCACGTCAGATTCAGACGAAACCGCCACCGTTAGGCCGAGACGCGTCGTGATCCGTCATGCAACGAAGAAATGACATGGATGGCTTATCTCCCTTACCCTGACGCGAATGAATCATGCAGCGCGAGTTCCGCCGTGACGTTCTCAGGTCTTCAATCTCATACTCACGTGAAGCGTCTGATAGCATTCCTCCCCAAGATATGCACGAGGATTGCGACACACCCTCAGTCTCTTGCCCTCTGGCACTCTCTGAGATCATCGTTTAACGAATGCACGAGACAGCAGAGGGCAGACAAGTGCAGGAAGATGGCGACCTGCAGGACGTGACACTCGTGTACTTGCTTATGACGTAGAGCTAGGCTTGGTAGGGAATTCAGTCCATTTCTGTCCATCGTTCTTGCTCAACCCTACCTGAAGGAAAGTCCCATCCAACTGCTTCTATTAGTTACATTTTCCGGCAATATATGTGAGGAACACGCGTTACCTTGGAGTACTGAAGAATGAGCACCTTTCAAGCACGAGTGCTGTACGATTTCAAAGCTCAGCCCGGAACGGGTGAGCTCACTGTAACAGAGGGAGAAATTTTGACAGTTTTAAGACGGGATGTCGGTGAAGGTTGGTGGGAAGGACGAAATGCTGCTGGGGAGGCTGGCCTTTTCCCCGAGGCTTATGTTGAGGTTTGTTTCATATTCTTGGGTGTCCTCGGCCTAGAATTAGATTTGTTTCATATCCTTGGGTTTCCTCAGCCCCTAGAACTAGGCTTTGAATTTGAATCCATACCAACTTTTTAGATTTAATATTTTTTCTTTGCTGTCTAATGTTTGGTTTATATGGTTTATATATTTAGTTTGGCCTGTGATGATTTCCCTGTTCTCCCTGCTACCCTCAGCAAACCATAGGTCTCGGGAAAGGTGGCATGAGTATATACATACCTGCCTGTGCTTAAGTTATAGCATGGTTAAAAGTATGGTTTTCAAGTGCAAAGATTTCCATTTGAGATTTTGTTCAATTTTCATTTCTTGCCACAACATGTTTTTGGGCAGATGTGAAGGTCTCTGACTAACTAGGCCTGGATGCATAAGGAAAATCTTGAAAATTACTCAGGGAATCCTGGTTCTTGTTCTGTAAGTCGTCCTATAGTGAGAAATCTCCCACTGACTTTTTCATGCATGTGAACCACACCATGGCCCATGAAGTCACATGGCTCAAAAAAAAAGAACAAGACTATTCATTATGTTCAGTGTCTGACATAACAGCATTGGACACAGGTTCTTCCTTGAGCCACTTATCTTGTTTCCTTCTTGCCATGTTTATTGAGTAGAGCATAGAACAGGGTTCTCCAATATTTTCATCCAAGGAACTACTTGAGATGATTGGTAGTAAAAACAGCTCCCACAAGATTAAACCATACTCTGTTTTCAGATTGAATTCATACCCCTCCCCCCTATATCATGGTGAATGAAAAAAACAACCTCCAGAGGATCTGCTTCATCAGATGATCCATAAAACCATCCATGTGGAATAGGTTACTTCCTGCAATAGTAGGAAGCACTCCTATGAATGGGTTCAAATTCAATCTGGAAACAGGGTGTGTGAGCTACTGGGACAGTAGTAGAGGATCCTAAGGTGAGATTGACAAGCAGAGCACCTAATTGCTGAATAATGAACTATCTATAAGCTACTGGTAACCTGTGAGTGAGAAGTTAAAGACCCCTGATATAGGCAATTTTTTTCCATTTGTATTCCTCTCTATGGTCACAGCTATTATCATCAGGACCCCCATCAGTTCCTCCTCCCCCCCTTCCTCCTGGATTTAACAATGGTGGAGATACCCTCTCACCTGTTTGGGATCAGAAGCCAGTAACATCTGCATGGGATCATCCAGCTGGATCAACTGCCTATGATCGATCAGCTTCAACTTCTACACCTGCTAGTGCAACCTCTCCTCCATGGAATAGTGGCTGGCAGGCTCAGCAAAATTCATATCCCCAGGTCAGCTGGAGTATTGAAACACTCCTCCTCTCAGCTTCTCTGTTATTGTTGACATGTTGTTGAACTTGCTGTGTGATAAACTTATTGCAAACTCATGATAAATGAATTTGTGTTTGAGTTAGGATGAAGTATGTGAAATGTGCATGGAAGGATTCTGTGAAAAACAAGAAATTATTTGATTTATGAGTACAATGCCACCCTAAGCCTACTCCTTTCTGTAGCCAACCTTGTCTCCCAACTCTTACATGGATCCAGCATCACAATCCCCATGCTTTACCATCAGATCCATCTCTACCCTTTTTCCTGTATATTTTCCAGTTGCTAAGACCTGCTTATTTGTACTGACAACATATTATTCACATTTGCAAGTAAAAGTCTTTACTATATCACTAGGGCCTATTTGGTTCTTAGTTTAGATTTTCAATTGGAGGATGGCAGCAATGAGATATATCCACTTGAGACATAAGAAGTATATCATGCAGTTGAGTTGCTTTTTAGGGCTAGATTATGATTGGAGTAGACAGCCACCTGGCAACTGGATGACAAAAAATGTTGGGAATCCCCAATGACCCGGGGGGGAGGTGCCAAATCCCAGTGATGTTGGGAGGAATCTTTCTTGCTTGTTAGCCTTGTCAAAGAGGAGAAGAACAGGTTCCTCTCAGCAAGAGCAGAAAATCTATGTTGGAGCTATATGAGTGGAAGCATGGCTACTAGGGAAAGCAGGTCAGACCAACCTGTTTGATTGCTTTGCAAGAGGCCCTAACAGAGGCATGATTAGAGAATCCCAAGTATTTAACATAACAGGAAAGAATATCTTACAGGCAGTTCAGAATTAATCTTACCCTAGTCTAAAAAAAACTGTAGTATGTGTTGACTGCAATTTTAAAGGTATGCTTTTTTGAGACTGCTTATTTATAGCAATGACTCACCATTGTCACAGTTTGCATTTTGAAACACATCATGCATTCCCCATGGGCAGTGCCAAGATGGCATCATTGGTGTCTGCAGAGTGCTTCACATGTTTTGAGTGCAATTATTACCTATGAACTTATGATATGAATTCATCTTAATATGAGAAGTGTGTTTGCAGAATAGACTATGCCGAGCCTATTTCTTGTATCAAGCTTTTATTGTCTCAAAGCAGTTGCTGAATTAAAGAAAGTGGGATTATGATGCATGCTATTAACAAGCTGGTGCCCAATAAAAGTAAGTGATGTACCAAACTATTTTGCAAGTAAGAAACCAAACCACATAATGAAAAGATACTTTTTGGGTTAGTTTCAAGGAGAGCTCTAGAAGATGATATGCTTCTACAAAACTCAACATTGCCAACTCTTTATCTGTGGAACCTAAGTTAGCGAAAATTTCCATCAAGTGAGCTTAATGAAGTTGCATCACCATTTTGAAAACAAAATGCTTGCTCTTACTTCTTAAATTTTTTTGGCATTTGTATTTGTGGATCATGAACTACAAGTTTCCTTAGTAAACCAAGTAAAGATACTGGTTGTTGAAATTAGGTTCCATGCAAATACAGTCGAACTCGGTTATAACAACGAAAGCACCAGGTCCCGGCATAGAGCCCATAAGACACATTACATTTTACCTTGGTTATAGCAAACTCAGTTATAACAAAGTCCATTGAAGGTCCCACAGTGAAATCGACAACGTTCATGTCCCTAATCCGTCATTCATAACTGAAATTTCCGTCATCAGAAAAATTAGGACTGGCAAGCCATAACTTCATATTTCCTGGATTCAGCATTCCTTGAGAGTCATGTGGGTGTGGCTAGAGCAATGTTACGGAGGGGTAATCCCCAGTAACTAAGATCACCTTATCTTCAGTCACCATTTGCATTTCTCGTTGACAACATGGTCAATGAAAAACGAAAGAGGCAAGCCTTCATGATTGAAAGGAAAGTGCGCTTGATTAGTTTAATAGAAAGAGCTCAAAGTGAAGCTAACGTCGCTCATGAACATGGACATCTGTCCGTCTGTTTCCACAATTTGGGAAAATCGTGACAGCTTCATCCGTGCTTATGAGAACATGTCACAAAACAAGAAACTTCCTAGGTCTGTCGAGATGATATAAACGAAGCCTTGCTAAAGTATAAAGTAGTTCAAGGTCCAAAGAAGTGCGAACAGATCATCACAATTAGTGGGTCAGTCTTGAAACTGAAGCTAGTGCAGTATGACCAATGTAACTGGAGTTGTAACGTTATATAGCATCAATTTTGAAACAGGAAAACGGAGTGCCAATAAAGGCAACCTCGGTTATAATGAACCTCGGTTATAACGAACCTCGGTTATAACGAACCTCGGTTATAACGAACCTCGGTTATAACGAACCTCAGTTATAACGAACCTCGGTTATAACGACGGTTTTTACCTGGTCCCTTCGATGACGTTATAACCGAGTTCGACTGTATATTATATCTATCTAAGTGACCTGCTCGTTACAGTTCTCTGCAGTAGTTCAATGGTACATTCATCTGATTTTATGTTGCTGTTCCAAGTGAAAGGAATTGTTCAGCTATGGCCAGAAGAGAGAAAAAATATTCCGTACGTACTGAAAGGTGATGAGATTTCCAGGCATAGTAATTGGCGTTGCGAGGTTGAAGGGTTGAGGGTGCTCGGCATTCCCTTTTCTCCATCGATGTCGATGGAATGGGGGTAGCCTCAGGTTGGTTATAAAAATATAGACTGGTATGAGATTTTTAATATCTGTCCAAGCAGAAGAATTAGCGTAGATTGAGGGGAGACTGTATCATGTCTGATGATTGGGAGATATTTAATGCTTGGATCCACACAGGCGGATACGGGAGCCCTCCCTCTCCTCCCATGGCCATCACGTCCTCCAGTTTCCCCGAGGAAGACAGGCGATGGAGCGGTGGAAGTGGGGCGTCGGGGTCGGGACTGGGTCCGCCACCACCTATCATCACCCACACCGCCGCCACCCCTCAGGGATCACCTTGTCCCACGATTCGTAGCTCACCTTCTGTCAGAAAGGTATTTTACTCCCCCCATCCTCCTTCCTTCCCTGTTTTCCAATGAGCTCTTAGCGAATCCTTGTCTTCGTCGTCAGATGATGTGCTCGAGGAACCCAAGTACGAGTTCTGGTGTTTCATGCAACGGGGCTCGGGGAGCCCATTCCGTTTCCCCTTCCTCATTGTGAGTTTTACTTGAAATTTATGCCGTGGGCAAGAGAGGTTATTGAGCCCATTTCTCTCGTGTAAATGGCCACGATGTCACAAAAAACGACGATTCCTTTGTGTGTTCCTCTTGGCATCCAGAGCACCTCTCCTTTCATCTCATATTAGCCAACATCTATCCGTCAGTTCCTTGTCTCCTCCCTGTCACTAATGTCCTCAAACTTTTCGCTTAACCATTGACAAGCGGCCGCCTTGTTGCCATCAACGACCGCCAGCCCCCCTCCCCCTCCAAATGCATGTCTGATGAGGGTCATCCTAAAAGTCTTATGCGTTGTTCTATTACTAGTACAGCTCTTACAAATCGTTAATCCCCCCCCAGGTAGGATTTCTGCTTTGAGATCCCTCAAGGCAGAAATACACCTGCTAGAGCAGGGGTATTCAATCTGTGGTCCGCGGGCCGCATGCGGCCCATTTTATGATTTTATGCGGCCCACTCAAGGTGGACCTTGCGGTCCTTGTGGCCTTCGCTTCAAAAAGTTGGGGACCACGGTGCTTGAGGGATGTCTATCCGATCTCAAATAAACGTATGGGAATGACGAGGTGGATTTCTACCCGGTGGGACATCCACCTGGTTCCAAATCCATCTCCGATCTCTTTGTCATCCTCTTACCCTTCGGCATGGTGAATGCAGGTGGTCATTTTGTAGGGAGGTGAACATGTAAAAAAAAAAAAAAAAAGAAACTCATTGGCGCCTAACTACTAGGGGATATTATTCCTATCATGACACCATTCTTGGCCAGTGCTTCTGGAGAACTCTTCAATCTGCATTAATGTCTTTGACAATCTCAAACCTGTGACCACGAAGACGTTCCTTCGTCCTGGAGTAAATAAGAAACACGCATAGCACATTACACTTGCAGTGTTGAGTAACGTCGTTATTAAGCAGCAGTGGACCCCTGGGCAAGAACTCTGGTCGTTTCAGACGAATAGATTGCAAACGATGTTGTGGAACATTTTTGCATGATGTAGGATGTGGGAATATGGTGATCCAGGATAGTGTGCCTTGATGATCAATGAATGCATTCTACGTAAGTTTCACGGTACCTAACTTTTTTTTTTAGAACTTCAGCAATCGTGAGGTCCAAGCCCGCCATTCTGCATTCTGGCGACTCAACTGGGAGTCATATGAGTACTCTCACTCTTGAGAAACGCTGTGCATCAAACGATGAGACACCCCACCTCGCATCAAGTCTTAGTGTGGGAATCTTCCGCGTAGAAATAAGATGCCCGAGCATTTATGAAATCCTTGTTTCAGTTGGAAGTTGCTGGCAGGTCAATCTGTCCGGTTATAGAATTTCCTTAACCAGAGCTGAGTGCATTATACTCGTTTTACTACCCTTGAAAGCCAGAACCCATACGTTGGAGAAACATCAGCAGGAGCATGATTCAATCCTGCATTGATTTCACTGGGAGATTCGTTCAGGAGTGCACGAATTTTCATAACTAAACGATTGTCTTCACTTGAGAAACTTCTCTACGTGAACAGCACATTCATCACTGACACTATTGGGTTAGTATTGTTGCTGCACTACCAGAGGGAGGATCATACAATTCCAAGCATTTGTTCAGCGAGGATGATGCCAGTATAGTCACATGCCAGTATAGCGAGATTTTACTTGCCACTTGTCGCATTTACAAAAAATACAAACACTCTTTTGTCATGGTCCTCATTACAGCATTTAATAGTGCGTGCACGCGCGCGCGCGCGCGTGTGGGTTCGTCCCTGTTTTTCTCGCATTCTCTTTAAAAGGTAATCTCTGCTTTTCGGTATGGGAGTTGGTTTCCATTAACCGATGGGAGCCTCGTTGTGTTATCTAATGACGTCTCGAGCGGAAGAGGCGACATAGAAAGGAAGCCGTAGGGCGAAATATATCAGGGGAAATCAACAGTTCTTGGGAGAAGCTAATGAAGTGAACCGCCGGACTGGAGTCGCTGCAGTCATTCCACCATCTACCACCATGCCTAGAATATACAATTTGAAGCCTGAAGAGTTTATTTTTATAGATGTCTCTTTCATTTGCTGCATATAACTGTTTCCTTATTTTTTGTTAAGGGGAGAGAGTTCTACTAGTCCAAGAGTTCGACGTTACGGAGTGCATGATGACAAAGTGTCTCGATCTCGGAATTCCAGCTGTGATGAAGAACCCGCCTCTTCCTCCAGCCTCTCCCCACATAACCTTATTGAGTCTGTTCCTCTTCATTTTCTCTCTCTCTCCCTTTCGCTTCTCCTAAAGCCTTGTGCATGTAGTCCACTGCAATTGCTTTGAACGGTGAACGGGCTCGCACACAGGTCTTCCAACAGTGGAGGCGTGCCTGGTCAATGCAATGGAGGGGTGGGGATACCATGGAGTCAAGGCCAAGTCCAAGGTCAAGGTCAAAGTCAAAGTCAGAAAGTGAGGCCAATCCTGAAGGGCAGCCCCGGGCCATCTCGTCAATCCTCATTCTCCAGACAGAATTCACTCCAGAGTCAGGGCTCCTCCCCCGGCAGCAGCGTCAAGTTCCACGAACAAGTAATTTCTCTCTTTTTTCCTTCTTCTTTCCTGTCTCTGAAAATTCAGGGTGACAGTTAATTGACTGGACTCTCTTCATTGGGACCCTCAAGATATATTATGCGTTCCATCTCAGGGTCAGAGGCGCATCTCATGCAAGCCATCTGATGACAAGAATCCAGTAAGGGTTTACTCAAGGATTAAATTTCTGGATTTGTCAGCCTCGTTGTGTAAGTACATAAGCAACCGCTTGTCATGATCCGACTGAGGTGTGCTTGGAGCAAGTTTCTAGCCTGCCCGAGGATGGGAAAATTTAGTCGTGCGATAGGAACTACGAGGGATGATCGGAAAGTAACAAAACAAGGCCTGTGGTTCTGAAATCGGGGAGCTGTGATCGATAGTAGCATGATAGGCGCATTCGCTAGTTCGAGGTTGGCGACTCAGAGACAGCCGAGGTCAGTGACGTAGGGCATGAGCAGTGGCAGTCTGAACATGGCGGGTCGCTTGGAAACATGGTCACGCGAGGAAGTTTGCAGTGTTATCCGTTTTTTTTATGGACGAAGAACGTGCCAGCGGCCAAAATTCATCGACAACTTGTGGAAGTGTACGGAGACATCGTCACGAACCGGCAGAACGTGACAGAATGGTGCAAGCAGTTTCGAAATGGCCGAACGGACGTTAAAGACGCCGAACGGAGTGGCCGCCCGAGCACAACCACGAATGATGTCAATATCGTGCGAGTCGACGAGATCATACAGGAGAACAGACGGAAAACCTTGCGTGCTGAGTGCAATTTCGCAACGGCTCAGCCTCTCGTACGGAGTGGTGTTCGAAATCGTCCGCGACGTGTTACGGTAACGGAAGGTGTCTGAGCGCTGGGTTGGTGGTTACACACAGGACATGGAATTCTATGAGAATGGTATCGAAAACCTGATTCTTCGATGGGACAAATGTCTCAACTTGAGTGGTGACTATGTGGAGAAGTAGCGCAGGGTAGGTACTACCACAATACATCCGTGACAGGTTCTAATATAAATTGCTGTCAGAACTACAGGCCTTGTCTTTTTACTTTCCGATCATCCCTCGTACCTCAGCAGGAAGCATGTTTCCTGCACGGAAAGAAGCAGACGGGATCGAGAGAGTAAAGCCCGATTCACCCTGACTGCAAAGAGCTACTGCAAAGCCGCAAACCGTCGGCGAGGCCCGCAGTTATATCTTGACTGCAACTGCATGCGTAGCAGCGCCCACACCGGTCGCAGAGCTCTCAAATCAATTCGAACATGGCTGGGCACAACCTGAACTTGTGCTGCGACACTTTTGCTTTTTTTTTGCGGCTCCAAAGGGGACAAAGCTCTCGACAGTCGTGGGTACGTCCTGCACTAGATCCTCTCATCAGATGGGAGAATTCGCGATTTAAGTAGAAAAGTTTCATCACCTAAAACATGGTATTTTCCTCCTTTGTCCATGAGAATTTCTCCTGAGCTGTTCAAGACCCTTCCTGGACTACTGGAGAATACCGTGTGAGGACACAAACCAAAAGTCCAGTAGTCAGACCATGCATTTCCCCAGCACAAATGGTGGAGTGGGTGGGTAAATGCATATTCAGCACAAATAGTCTGTATAACTCAGATACTGATAATCATGCAGCACTACCAGCAGATACCTCTTAAAGGAGGGCACGACTCCGGTCATTGCACTCGAAGAGAAGGTGCTTCTCAACTTAAAAATGTCAAATTCATGAATAGAAACAATGGAAAATAATCAGGAATATAAATGACATCGAGACCTCACTTGAAGAGCTATTTCTAGGGCTGTACCGGTGGCAACATTTGGCAGGTGGGTTGATGGCCGATTTTTTCCTCATAACCATCGGCCGGTGCCGGTGCCGGTGCCAATTGTGGCCTGTTGAAGAAATCGCCTGTATATTCGAATAGCCCTAATCAGGGCCGAATTAAGAAGTTGCGAGGCCCGGGACAAGAGAATTCATGGGGCTCCCCCCCCCCCCACCCCCCGCTACTTTACGCAAATACTGTACAATACTTTTTTTGTACTTAACGTTTTTAATTTCTTTTGGGGGCCCCCTGGAAGAATGGGGCCTGGGGCAACTGCTCCCTTTGCCCCTCCCCCCCCTTAATCCGGCCCTGGCCCTAATTGGAAATCATGTGATACTCATCAGTAGGCCTCCTTGAGACGATAGTGATCGCTTTTGGTCCTGTGCAGCCGGTCTATCTCTCAATGCTTCTGTCCGTGGTTAGTTTGCTACCCATTGCTGCAGTTAAGAGCATTTAGTGACATCCCTTGCAAAAGCATGACGTAAATGGAGATGCAACGATTTCCCGTTCTTCACCGCCATTTTCCTTTGCCGGTTCCTATAATACGGCTGTCACATAATCGATATTTTTGCATGGGGGAAGCTGGCAGGAGTGGCCGAAGTGAGACAGGAGGGCCGGCGCCGAGGCGTGTGAACACCCTCACCTAATTTTTTTTCCTCTTTGCCCATCCTTTGGGCACCGGCATCGGCACCGTTGCCATAGGCCGGTGGCCGATGGCGCCGATAGTGCAACACCGGCGGCCGATACCGGTGTTAGCCGATACATCGGTACAGCCCTAGTTATTTCTTATATCGATGATGATGATTTCTTATATCACCGCACGTGAAGATTCAATGGTGATGATTGACATCGTCTACCGCCAAAATCATTCACTGAAACATCCAATAAAATATTATCTAATGTCTCCCAAATTTGCTATGAGTAGGTAAGCAGCACGAAGCATAACGAAGACGCGACTGGAACCGACTCGACTGATTCCGTTGCGAACCCAGCTGCGACCGATTGCAACGAATTGCGACAGTCGCAGTGATCGTAACGCAGCTCTTCGCACTCAGTTGTGCATGGCCCCTAGGGACTCCCATGGGACCGTCGCAGTTCGTTGCAATCGGTCGCAGTAAGCTTCGCAACGGAATCGGACGAGTCGCTTCTTGTCGCATATTCACAGTGGTTCGTGCCGCGTGCCTTCTAACAGCAGTTTTGGAGTCCTTAGATGATATTTAGCTGGCTCTTTTGGTGGAAAGATTTCGGGAGTAGACGATGCCAAGCATCGCCATTGAATCTCCATGAGCGAGATACATACAGGTAGATAAACAAAATCAATTTTAAAGAGTGGTCTCGACGTCATTTATATTCCTGTTTATTTTCCATCCATGAATTTGAATTTATATTGTTAAGTTGAGAAGCACCTGTTCTTCGAGTGCAAATGCCTGAGTCATACCCTCCTTAAAGAGTGTTGCATGATTTGAGCTTATGAGACGTACAGGTGATTTGATTTGAGTATGCATTTACCCACCTCAGGATCACTGCCACCATTCGCACTGGGGAAATGCACGGTCTGAAGTTTCTGTCCTACACTCTCTTCCAGTAGACCAAGAAGGGTCTTGAACAGCTCAGGAGACACGCTCATGGACACAGGATAAAAACACTCCTTGTCTTCGGTGATAATATTTTCAACTAAAGTCGCTAAATCTCACATCTGATGACGGCATCTGTGTACCGGACGTACCTACCACTGTCGACAGCTTCCCCCCCCAGGACCGCAAAAAAGCCTAAGGGTTGCAGCACGAGCTCTCAAGTTGTACACAGCCATGTTGAATTTCGATTGGGTGCTTTGCGACCAGTGTGGGAGATGCTTTGCAGACGGTCGCAGCCACCTTTAGAGTTGGATAGGAGGGCATGTCCATGGAGAGTCCATGCCTTCCATTGTCGCCCTCATAAGGCACCAAATTAGGAATTACCCCTGTCCGATCCCGCGGGGATGTTGCAGGCCGGGACAGGAGAAAAGAGGAGCGACGCGTTGAGCCGTCAGACGTCCAATGCGTCCAATGCGTCCGTCGTTTCACCAAAAATCAACAGCCTACCCCTCACCGCTCTCAAATTGGACGATCTCTCAGCGAGCGATAAGGAGCTTTACAAGATCTGCTGGTACTTTGAACCCAAGGGCTGCTTTAAGGACAAGGAATCCTATTCCCTCTTCCTCTTCTCTCCAGAAAACAGGTCAGCACTCGTCCAAATATCATATCTCTTGCAAGTTATCTTGAGACTTAGATGAAGAAAGGCGATGGCTTAGTATTTGGGGGGAAGGGGGGGGGGGGACCAGTGGGGACAGAGAGGAAACTTACTTCCAACTTTTCCGCATTAAAAATGAAAGGAAGAAGCAAGAGATGCATGTAATGCAAGAGCGTTCCAAAGTTCTGGTGCCCCCCTTCCCCCCTCCCCGAGTCGCCAAACATGTCTTGAATTGATTTTCTCCATTTTTAATCCATGCAGATTTCGGAAGTTTTGCCTGTGGTTTACAAGAAAAAAAGCGTTCGACCACGTGATTCTGGCCTTTATAGCCTTGAATTGCCTGACGTTGGCCATGGAGAGACCAACCATCCCACCGCATTCCGTGGAAAGGATATTCCTCAACTTCGCCAACTACGTATTCACAATTGTCTTCGGCTTGGAAATGTTTTTCAAGGTAAACCAGAAGTGGTTCCACAGCCCATATTAATTAATTAAGCTACAGCTTAATCGGTTCGCGTGGGAATAGTTCTGGGGAAAAGTTAGGCTACATCTTGAGGTAGCCAAATGACTCGAAAATATTCAACTGCCAGCCTTAAAAGGAAAGTTTCCTATCTCAGTATCTTTAATTTTTATATTCAGATGATCAAATGCCTATGCCCAAAGGGGTAACTGTTTCCTGTATCGTACTTAGTACTTGCTAAGTACTGTGCTGCCTCGTAGATTCATTTTTTATGGAGTGAAAATGGAGCTTGCCAATATTTCGCCTCGAAACCGAATTTGATCAGACATATGCATTTCGAATGTCCTGTGCTGAACTCAAGAATGCGAATATTATTATAATATGAACAGCCTGAGAGAAAATATAGGTTTCCCGATAGCTCCAGATGGCCCAAGAGTTTCCGACTTTACGAGGTTGCAGACAGAATACCAAGCAAGATATCCGCAATAAATTCGCAGAATGTCACTTCCAATATGAACAGGTGTTTTGGTGAAAATATTAATGAAATAGGTGATTATTTTAAATCCAGAGTAATAGCCCCTTTTCATACGATGTTAAATGAGCGAGTCTCTGTATGCATTTACCTCCTCAGTTAAACTGGTCCATGGGGCGAGTCCTATCTTCCGCAGAGGAAGCAGCCAGGTCATGTTGACGCACTTGACGTTCGGTCATTTGATATGCGGAAAAGCTGTTATTCGGCTTTAAAATAACCAATTTAATTCAGATATTCAAGAACCGGTTCCCGGTCAATTCTCCGACGGTCAATTTCCCGACAGTCAGTTCCCTGAATGGTTATTTCCCCCGTTTGTAAATTCCTGATTGAATTCTACGATGGTGGCACGAAGGTATTTGTTTCCGAAAAACGTTTCCAGTCCCCCACATAGACCTACATTGAGGAGTGTGAGGGGAGGGGATGCGGCTGCCCCCCGACCGAGCCGGAACCGAAGCGAGGTCTAGGCGAACGGAATGAAAGGGGAAAGTTGCTAATATTCTTTAATCCTGGCGGGGAGGAAATCATTTAATTCTTTGTCCCCCACCTTTAGAAACTTGTTTCGCCTAGGGAACATGACTACGGATACAATGCCAGTCAGATAACTGACTTGGATGTCACGCCCTGCGAATTTTACACTGATAGGTTTACAGTACATGGATGCTATACATATACAGGTGTGTATCCCCGTCTTGTAGGTAAGTATTTTAGTTAAACTACTATGCTGGAAAAGTAGATCAAAAGTCAAACTACTATGTTACTTGCGGCAGTAACTATTTAAGGTTGAATATTAATTTTCAAATAATTATTTATTTTTATTGGAAGTGGGCTTCACGTATGGGAGGGAATACATAGGCTACTTGAAGTCTGGCTGGAATGTCATGGACAGGAACTTTGTTCTCATATCTGCGTCTGATGACGTTGCAGGTAGTGGGAATGGGTTTCATGTACGGAGGGCATGCGTACCTGAAGTCGGGCTGGAACGTGATGGATGGGATCCTTGTCTTCATTTCCCTCATTGATGTTTCCATGCAAGTCCTCTCTGACGCATCTCCCCGTATCTTCAACATCCTTCGGGTCAGTCTTGATTATTCTCTTGCTTGTACTTTTAATTGTATCCAAATTCTTTCATTTCAAAAAATCACACGGTTCAATCACATCAGTATGCATTTAATCAATTTGTTGTTCCAGGATATCTCAGAAATAATTTAGTTCGCCACAGGCTACATAGAGAAGAGATTGGTTGGGATTGGTTTCTGGCTGAAAATTAGGTTCAGATAGAGATTCTTTTGCCATAAACATAAAAGTAAGAGAACTTGGCAAGAAAATCTAGGAATCCTGTCCAAAGATATGGGACCTACGCCTTCAGATAGCATGCCTAGAAAGATCCCCATTGCACTCTGACGTCTGGCGTGGTATTCATTCAGCCCGGAAGAATTGGGGATCCTTCAGGAGGCATGCGAGTCTGCTTTAGGATTATGGGAGCGCATTTATCCTCCACGAGGGCATTGAGGATCCATCCGGGCGATATGCTCAGAGGGACCTCGAATACGTTTGTGTCCTGGCAGGGTGTTTCTCACCTCATCGCGTATCCCATTCATTCTGGCTATTTATAGCCTATATTTCCTTTTAACGTTTCCATTGAATGATATAGACCACATCCAACAGCGGTCCTTTGGACCTTTGCCTATGCTATGCTCAGCTTGTATTCTTCAATGAGGTCTCATATTAAAGGTGTTCCGTCTCCTGCGCTCCTTGCGTCCCCTGCGAGTGATCAATCGAGCTCCAGGCTTGAAACTCGTCGTTCAGACCCTCATCACATCGCTGAAACCCATCGGGAACATCGTCCTCATTTGCTGCACCTTCTTCATCATCTTTGGCATCCTTGGCGTCCAGGTCTTTCTATCTTTCTATCCTACTTACTCCTTAATTTCATCACAAGCATACCAAGAGATCATACTCATTTCCACTACATTTTTTTTAGTGGTTTCCTATGCGAATTGAATTAACTATGCTGAACTGTGCTGATCAGATATCCAAGGAGTATTGTGGGTAGTAGATCTGACTCATTGCGTAGAGTCAGTTGTTTAGAAGAGGTATTGAAATGTGATATATTTCTTAAAATATCGGTGATAGTGAGCTCACCTTCTGATTTGATTTTGAATGGTTCAAGAGATACATCATAGGATTGGAACTGGATGCATGATTTTTGAATGATGAGAAAGTGGAATGATTCCGGGAATTATTGTATATCCAATGCAGCTGTTCAAGGGAGCCTTCTATCACTGCCAAGGGCCGAACATAACCGGTGTGAGGACGAGGAGTGATTGTGATGGTGAAAATTACAAATGGGTGAACCAAAAATACAATTTTGACAACCTTGGACAAGCCCTTATGTCCCTCTTTGTGCTGTCCTCCAAGGATGGTTGGGTCTCCATCATGTACCAGGGTCTCGATGCCGTCGGAGTCGACAAACAGGTAGCTTACCATTATGCAATATTTTCCGAACTTCTCTTTCGTTTTCTAACGTCTCGAGTCTCCTTTATATCGACATTCTAGTCGTATACGAAGATCTGCAAATTTTAAGGAATTTTAGTGGGATTTCTTCCAGAATCTCGAAAAAATCAATGGAGAAAAATTTTCCTCAATACAACTTCCAGTGAAGAATTGTAGCATTTCCCAGAAGCAATTTAAATTTAAAAAAAAATCAAATTGACGGAAATTCTTAAGAATCGGATAAAATAAAGTCGAAAATCGTTAGGATTATGGTTATACTTGACCAAGTGGAAGAGCTGGTTCGATTTCAGGACTATAAAGAGGAGGGAAAAGCATGAATGAATGTCAGAATTTGACGTTCCTTTGTTTTCCCCTCGTCCTGAGGATGTGATACATAATCCTGATATATTCAATCCTGTGTGACATAGCCGGTGGAGAATTATTCCGAAGGGCGACTGCTGTACTTCATTTCGTTTCTTCTCCTCGTGGGATTCTTCGTGCTCAACATGTTCGTTGGCGTCGTCGTTGAGAACTTCCATCGATGCCGAGAAGCCCAGGAAAAGGAAGAAAAAGCGCGACGGGCAGCGAAAAGAGCCAAGAAATTGGAAAAGAAGCGGAAAAGTACGCCTCTCCTCACCAATCTCTCCCGTGATGATCATGACAATCAATCCAGTTCCTCGGATTCCGATTCCGGGAGTAGGGGAGGGAAAACGGCGGATCGTCTCGGTCTGTTTGTCTCTATTGCGGCAAGAGAATGATTAGGATCTATAGGGAGGGAGAGAACGTGGAGTTCTCATTCCTCGTTACCTGCACCACTAACTTCTTATTAGATACCATTGAGGATGCTGTAGTTCACACCCTGGTTGATTTGACAATGACGTGATCCGATGCAGGGATTCTAAAATTCGCTTTCCTCCCTTTCACACTGCCTGTAGCCAGGGGCCATTGGTCGCTTCCTCCTGGAACTGCCGACCGAGTCTTTGCAAGAAACAAATGAATAACATGAGCCTGCTCACAAGAAAGCGAAAATATGGCAGTACTGGAGCTGAATGTGAAAGTAAAACTCCCAAAACTGATGAACATGAGTTAAGCCTTGAAGAAAGCTATGTAAGTGTAAATGTAAGTTTGAAAGGTTCATCCTGATGATGATGATGTGGAAAAGATTCGAGATGCCGAGATAAGCAAGCAGCAATGAGAATGGATTTTAATAAAACGAGTTTACGCAGGCAAGAGGACCAACTGGACCCAGGCGACTGTCTTTATAGAGCAAGAGTCTTCAATTCCCAATTCACGGTCCATGCACGCTTTTTACCCTCACCTTGGAAGTTGAATCATGTAGTGAAAAAGCGATTCCCAGTATCTAGCCTTATAATAAAGCGTCTCCATCCTCATGCCTGAAAGACCAACAAGGTCAGAATTGCCCTTTTCCTTTTCTTTGCATGGGCACCTTTGATTCCAACGTGCATGGAAGATTTGTCTTAGAAGCAGGAATACCCGACAGTAAGATCCAGTAAGACCTCATCGCACAATTACTAATCAAAGTGCTACAGCCAACAGGATGGCGAAGGGATTTCTTTATTGGTCCCTGAAGGCTGAGGTTTGCCTGTCAGGGGAAAAGAAGCACTTCGTCATTCTGAACCGTTCATTGCATTAGTTCCTGTAATCATCTCCAAGTTTTGCAATAACTCACATGGTTGAAAAGATTTTTCTTCTTCTTGCGATGCGCTTGTATAGGGCTGCGGGAGCCACCGTATTATATGGACTATAGTCGCTGGAGGCTGTTGGTACACAACATCGTGACGTCGAAGTACTTCGACCTGGCTATCGCTGCCGTCATCGGCCTCAACGTCGTCACCATGGCCATGGAATTCCATCTCATGCCCGATGTAAGCATGCCTCGCTTCTTTCCATGCAATCAAAGGAAATAAATAAACCAGGCCCCTGTTTGTCGCTGATGATGCAGGCTTTGGAATATGCATTGGAGATCTTCAACTACTTCTTCACGGCTGTATTTATCCTGGAACTAGCTATGAAGCTCGTCGCGCTCGGAGTGCGAAGATACATGAAGGACAAGTCGGTTTCTTTGTGTCCTTGTCCGATGTTTTTGTTTCCATTGAAGAATTATCACGGTGGACTCATGTCATTTCCTTTAAAGGTGGAACATGTTGGATGTGGGAATCGTGATATTGAGCATCGTGGGAATCATGTTCGAGGAGATGAAGAACGATATCATGCCAATAAATCCAACCATCATCCGGGTCATGCGAGTCCTCCGAATCGCCAGAGGTGAGTCAAAAGCCGACGACATAGTCCGTGCCATTGCATTCATTCTCGTGTGGTATTGGGACAGTGTTGAAGCTGTTGAAGATGGCCAAGGGGATTCGGGCATTGTTGGACACGGTGATGCAGGCGTTGCCTCAAGTCGGTAACTTGGGGCTTCTCTTCTTCCTCCTCTTCTTCATCTTTGCCGCCCTCAGCGTGGAACTCTTCGGACGACTCGGTTTGTCTCTATCTCCTAATCCTCTTCCAAATAGAGAAAACCTTCTTTCACCACTTTTTGCTTCACGAAAGCAAGCCGTACATGAAGGCTAGTTACTTTTAAAAATTTTTGTCAGTGCATGCAAAGACTCATTGATAAATGTGTTCTGTAAAGTAAAATACAAATTTAAAATTTAAAAAGGGAAGATGGTAAGAACATAAAATGATGCTATGCGTTTGTGGTGTCTGTGTGTTGGTATCGAGCAGAGTGCGACGATGATAAAAACCCGTGCCAAGGACTGGGGGAACATGCTCATTTCCGGGACTTTGGAATGGCTTTTTTGACCTTGTTCCGAGTCGCAACCGGAGACAATTGGAACGGGATCATGAAGGACACTCTGCGGGAAAATTGTGACTCCTCCGCCGATTGTATCAGCAACTGTTGTATCCTGCCCTTCATTGCTCCCATCTTCTTCGTCATCTTCGTCCTCATGTCCCAGTTTGTCCTCGTCAACGTCGTCGTCGCCGTCCTCATGAAGCACCTAGAGGAATCACACAAACAGGTATCGTCACTAATGTCGCCTAAATCCTCCCCTTTTACTCTCCTCTAATTTGAACTGGCAAAAATTTCAAAACCAAAAACACGAATCCCTGGTGTCGGGTCATAAAGATGACAGAAGAAGAGGTGAAAGAAGTTGGAGCAGCTGTGATTATGAGTCGCATGAAAAAGCCACGGAAAATGGATTCTTCTTCGTCTTCTTCCTCCTACAGTGTCAGGATATCTCTCTCTCCATAGCCTCCAAATTATGCATCATTAACTAGGCTTTTAGCCGCGGCACGGCAGCACTAACCCTACCCCTCCCTCCAAATGTTGAATGAACGATTCTCCAGAGCTTAGACTGAGCTTTAGAGGAATGAAACTTGGGAATTTTGTGGAATTTCTAGGAAGACATACTAACAATTATCATTGTTGACCTATTCACGAGTTGGTCATTCCTAGTGTCTGGCAGCCCCAGCATGTCCTAGCATATTTGTCATAACATACACCAGCAGGGTAGTAGTGTTCATGTAAAAATTGGAAGGGCATTTTCTCTCCAGTATAATGCCTGGAGCAGATTCGAATAATTAACATTTTGACATGAGACGGTGAAATACGTAGATAAATGTCACCCTTCCGACAAATTCGACCAGAATGCCATCTATCACACTTCACGTAATACAAACTGTAACATGAGAAGTGAATGTCGCGAATGAACTAGCATTCATTCTTCGTACCACAAGGTACAGTATGATAGACTCACCTTCAGTATCATGGCCTTTATCTGTCTCACTGGACGAGACGGAATTGAAAGGAAACTCTTTTTGTCTTACACTCTTGCCTCCTTTCATGAAAAAACTGAAATTCGTGGTACTCTTACAAAAAAGATATCAATAATTTGGCGTGATTGTTGCGACCATATGAATTCCATGCGTGTTTTAATGCAAAGCAGAAATAATCAGCGGACGATGAGACTGTCGTGTGTGTGCTTACAGATCGAAGAGGACGAACTGGAGGCGGAGGTCGAACAAGAACTGGCAGTCGAAGAAGCTCGAATGGAAGAGGTCTTTTTCTTCTTTGATCTTAGTTTCGGCAAGTATCTATCTCTTTTTATCATGACGTCACGTGGTGGGTGCCTCTCATGCAACAGGAGCAGGAGAGGGAAAGACGACGAAAGGAAAGAAAATCGAATGGGGGCCAAGGTCATGGTCACGGTCATGGTCATCGGCATGGTCATGGTCATCGTCATGGTCAAGGTCATAGTCCCTTGAAGAAAGTCCCAAGTGCCCCAGCCAATATGACTCTTTATTCACTTAGTCGCTCTTGGCCGCTCAACATCGACAAGCCCAATCCTGAAAAAGGTCTGTTCTCAAAAGTTAAACTTTGAGCGTTACACAGTTTCTCTTAGATTGTGTCCTCTGGACCGAAGGGGTTCTTCCTCGAAATATAAAAATACTTACTCCAAATATTTTATGCTATATGTAGATGAGTATTTATCAAAGTCATTAGAATAGCGTGTCAGTATTTGGGTACTGACATGGCCCTGGATGATGATTTTATTAAGTCAAATCATGTCAGTAGAATATTACTGACGCAGCCAGAAGGAAACTCTTTTTGTCAGTACTGAACTACTGACATGATTCCTTGAGAAAAAGTATCAGTACTATAGTCCTTACGTGAGGCTCAAAATGTTAGTCGTCATATCGTTAATCATAACATGTATGAAAATGCATTATATTATATGTTATACCATACAGATATGTATACTGCAAACCTGGGCATCGCGTTGTGATTTTCGTAAAAATTACCATGTTTCACTATGCTGAAACATCATGGAAAATTACTTATAGTTACATAGTCAGGCAATAACAATATTTTTCCTTCGCAGGGTGCTTGAAACATGCTACAAGGCTATCAGTTATTGTTATATCGAATGAATTCACCCTCCTCCCCTCCCGCCGCAGTAGGCAGTGGCGCTGCTGGCTGTGAGACGAAAGTGACATCTGTTTTTCATCCCATAAACTGTAACGCTATCCATATTAACGGTCCCAGCCAGTTATCTGACCACCATAGACCAGAATCAGGCCTTGAAGGAACTTCGTAAACTTGGCATAATACAGCCCATCAGAACGAGCAGGAACCAATATTCTTTGAAGTTCGAGTGAAGTGAACCTTGAGGAATGTCAGGGCATCGAAGTAGAAATTATATCGTCATCTTGTCATCAACACAACCACGAAATCAGTCGTATATCACTGGGATGCATTTTTATTTTGACCTTACAATTTTATCAGCCATGAAAAGACACACCTGGCAAAAATTCACCCTCTCAGTCTTTTCAGGATTCCGAAGATGAGCAATACGAAATTGAAAATTTAGCTTTCTGCATCCTTCACCCTTAATTAGAAAAAAACGCCTTGGTTTTTACAAAGGTTTCTCCCTTCTAGGAAATTTTCCAATGGCAGGCGGTCTACATTTTATATTCTTTTCATTGATGACTCTTGAGCGCCTTGGAATGTCGAAAGAGGAAATGGACAAGTATCCAGTTGATGCCTATATCAATGGATAAAATGTAGAAATGCAAGAAATTTGAAGAGGATGAAATGTAGATGAGGAGAAAGGCGAAAATGCTTTTTATGGGTCACAATACCCAGAGCAGGGTTATATTTTCCCCCCTCCGGGTCAAAATGATAATTGTGAAATCCTTCGTTGGTGAAGGAGTATCACTGATGCGATTAAGATAGACGCGAAAGAGAGATAGAAGTTGGAGACGCTTGAGGACGACTTCGTTCAAGGATATTCGTCCAATCTCACGAGGATGCAATGTTAAAAGAAAAGAGTTCACATGGCTGAATGTAGATGTAAGGGAGGCCACATCTTGCGAAGGTGTAGAGTACAGAATAATATATTGCAGATCAAAGACTCTGATTTAACAAGGTAGCAAATTATGTGTTCTGTCGTAGCTGCCGGAATTCGAAAGATGCCAGTGGATTTTGGCGACAGAATTCTGTGGTTACGTGGAAGTTAACAAGCACAAATCCTGCTAGGTGAGGAACTAAAACCAGGACACCCAGCTTATACGTGTATACGTACCCATTTTACTTGTCTCATTTAAATTTCAAATTAATTAGAGCAGTAGGTGTAATCCGTGTTCGAGCCAATCTATTGCAAGGGTGAAAAGCTGAGGTAATTCCACGGCATTGAGAGATTAGAAGAGAAAGGATTTCTCCATTGCCTGAGACCTTTTCATCTACAATGAGGGTGACCCAGAAAAATGTTACATCGAGACCATTTTTTCCTTCTGGATGTAATATTTTTCAGGGCCACCCTGTAATACGCGATCAACGCATTTACAATTGAATATTACTACTTTTTGACATTCTCACACAGCTTTTGCAACTATCCTACAGAATTTCTGCTCCTGTATGAGTATTTGCTTGCTCATCTCCCTAAAAGAGTCTTCGATAAGCTAATATTAGTTACTTCATGGAATGACTACGCGAGATTTTGATGGAAAACTCAAAGTGGATAAATACACTTCCTCCAACCGTTGAGGATACAGGAGATAGCGATGTGGGCGACATCTACGACATTGACTAGTTGGGATTAGTTGTTACAGTATCTGCAGATGCGTCATAGAAAAGCATGGAGAGTCATAGGGGTCCATTGTAACGGGGATGAATTCATTCTACAGGGTGGGCAAAAAGAAAACAAAGCTATCATTTTTGGCAAGTTGTCAATCTAATTGTATGATACCGATTTTGATGACATTTGATATACACATAGGATGACTCAATTAGGGTTTGTGTGCCAAGTTTAAAATAAAAAGTCTAAAAACTATGAGATTGGCATTTAATTTACTTTTCATCACCAAAGAAGTAAGTGTTCATTTTTTCTTTCAGCTTAAAAATTCTCACAACTGACAAAAACAAACAAGCAAACAAACAGAACAAAAACAGGTGCACAAATGCCAAACACGAAAGCACACAATTTGGCTTAGGGATGTATGTTTCAAATGAAAAGGTGCTCAATGTGCCCTCCATTCTGTTGTAAACAAGCCCCTAGTCTGAGACACCACTGATCAATGGCTCGGTCAATAAACCTTTGAGACAGTACCTCCCAATCTTCCTTTGTAGCATCATGCAGGGATGGAAGGTCAATGAATTCGGACCCCCTTTTCATCCCGGTCTCATCCCGGTTGTATCGAGATTTTCGACAGCCCATTTTGTCGTTGGTCATCAGAAAATAATCATAATTCCTATAATTTTAAAGCCAGATGACTGAAATTTGGTATCCAAACTTCAATTGTGTCACCTTATAAGCCTACCAATTTTAATCAAAATCAGCGGCCTACAATGAGATTGACAACTCACAAAAAATGATGGCTTTGTTTTTTTTTTGGCCCATCCTGTATAAGAATTGTATGTTACTGCTAAAATCTTTCTGCCTGGAAATTTATTGATACGGTTGCATCTCACTGAACTTTGTGCTTTACATTACGTCATTTGGCAGGGTAGATCTTGCGCTGATTTTCGAGGGGAGGACTTCACTAATTAGTTTTCTTCCAATCAAATGCAGTAAAATAGAAGAAAGATAAATAAAGGAAAGCGACATAGGATTATGCTGTGCAGTCTTGTAAAAATAGTGAAAAAATGAGGGTATAGTACAAGAGGGTAAAATAAAAAAAGAGAAAATATTAAGGACAAAATTTCATTTAATAGAAATGTAAAATGCAAAATTTCGGTCAAGGATAGAGGGTCCACTGGGCTCCTCTAGCCTCCAGTGCCGGATTCGGGGGGGGGGGGGATTTTTGGCACGTGGTTGACATGTACCAGTCCGCATGTTTTTTAAATGATTTCATATAGGATTTGGGAATGAAAGTAATTTCATTAAATCGATTTATACGAGGGTTGATCGGAAAAAAAGTTTAACTCCTATTACAGAAAAGCCACGAGGTAGTTAGCGTAGGCGTGCGATTAGGGATATTAGGGGTGTCGCACCTGACAAAAATGCGCGAGACGTCATTTGTACCGCTCATGTCACATGATCAATGCAGTCGTGAAATGGTGACGCGCTTGGAGAAATGGTCTCACGTTGAAATTAGATGTTCCAACCGTTTTTTGTGGGCCAAGCACATCTCCGCAGCGGAACTTCATCGTCAGCTGTTGGAGGTGTATGGGGATGGTATGTCATCTAGACAACTAGTAGCCGCATGGTGCCGACAACTTGTGGGTGAACGAGTGTCGAGGACAATAACAAGGAGAACAGTGACAGGCCTTGCGCTTCCTCAACAATAGACAACGCCATTCGTGTTGATTGACTAATTCAGGAAGACTGACTAGGCTAATGGGTACTATGCAACTCTGCAACACCAGCATGAAGCAATCCGGCGAAGGCCAGGATGTCTCACACAATGGGGGTTTCTGTTTCATGGTAATGCTCGTCCCCACGTGGCGCGTCTGCTACAGAATGGTGGGGGGGTTCTTCAGCGTTCACCCTAAAACTCTGATCTTCAACCAAGTGATTTCCATCTGTTTCCGTTCATGAAGAAGCATTTCGGTGACCGTCTTTCCTGGTCGGATGCTGAGGTGGTGAAAGAGGTGCAAAAATAGTCGTCTGCACGATACATTAAATTATACATTGTCACCATTGAAAATCTTATACCACGGTGGGACAAATGCCTCAAAGTCCAAGAGGATTATGTGGAAAAGTATGCCCCCTTGAGCACTCTATGCAGCACCTGTATTATTTGGTTGCAATAAATTACAAACACTTTGGACGCTGGTTGTAAAGCTTTTTTCTGATCACCCCTCGTATAAGGGGGAGCCCATGATGTGAACCACGTTAAGCTCACGCGGATTTACAGGCTTAGTGCATGCTACTCTAAATTTGGAATGAAATGGAAATTCAAGTTTTGATCTACGCAAATGATTCTTCCTCATGTCGTAATTTCCGTTCCGAACTGAGAAATTAGCCTGAGGAGGAGGTAGGTGAGTGAAGCGTGAAAACCGGAGACGTTTATTAACTAACTGGTTGACCTTTACTTTCACCCAAGGTAACCCAAGGTCAACCGTGGAAAAGGTTGTTTGGCAGGTCTAAGCCATCCTCGGAAGATCATCTTCACCTTGGATATTACCTAGGTGACCATCAGGTTGTATTGCCGTATCGGCTGCATTCGACCACGTATACAAAGGCTTCCTCGATTTAGTCCAAAGTTCTGTTTTTATTTGAAATTCATTGTGAAATAAGACTCTTGAGAGCCTTCCACCGAAAGTGGAGGATTATTCGCTCTGAAATCTTCAGGAACGATGAGAATCCGAACCTCTTGGAAATAAATTAGATTTTCTCGAGCAGAAATTCGATTACAGAGGAACATGTTTTTTTTTTCGAAAAAAATATCAGTTTTCATTTTATGCCAAATTCAACGTGAGTCATTTCTTCCTGCAAAGGATTGCAGTGCACAAATGAGCGGGGACTTTTGCGAGGCAGTATAAATTGCATTATACAAAAATAGTGTTTAATCTTAGCTCCTCGAGCCGGGCTTTTGGGCTACTATGAAAAGGAATATTATCAATATTTATCAGTGAGAGGAGACGAAGCCATCCTTTCATAGTTTCTCGTGCGAAGAGCCGTCGTGTGAGCCCCTAATCCTCAAACAGTCATCTATTACATCAATTATATACGCATACAAGAAAAACATCCGGATTTCTACGATAATTTTATCTGGATAAATTGTATCTTTCTGTTATTCGCCGATGGCTGACATTGCAGACTCGTCATTATTCAAAGAGTGGTGAGGAAGGGAGGCTTAACCAAGACAAGAGATTCAGGTAGTTACCCCGATGCTGGGGGTATGTGGAACCGCCTTGAGGAGCCAATCATCAATTAACTGTTTGTTTGCTTGTTCTTTGTGGGGAAAGAGGAGGAATATATCCATTGTACTCGTTGTTTTGAACTGTGCAGACTTGAGAGTGGCGTTGGAGATATTACTGAAGTTGGAAGGGGAAAGGGAAAAGGAGCGGGAGTTGCCCCTGCCAGTGCTGTTTCCGGGGAAGGCAGTGATGCCAAGTCCCATCCATGCAAGACGAGGACTCAAAGTCGGTCTATCCGAAAGCAAACCCGACATCTTGGAGCACGACATCTATCAACATACTCCCTCTGTCTCTCTTTTGTCCTCCCCGAATCCGAATCCGGATCTCGGAGACGAAGACGAAGACGAAGACGAAGACGAAGACGAGACCGCCTCGTTTCAGGAAAGGGCAAGAGGGACACTGAGGGGGACACTGAGCCTGGACGAGAGCCTCAGCGTGAGTCTCGCTCAGAGTTTCCTGACGAGTTTTGAGGATCCAGATGGGAAGTGCGACGTGGATTCATCTTTCTCCGTCTGTACCTCTCACGATGACGATGACCCACAACCCTGAATTCCGTAGCATACATTCTCCCACTTCCCAGTCCCGATTGGGAACCCAAAGATCAAAAGTGCGGGGACACGAAGCACAAATTTAAATTCAAAATGACTGCGAAGAAGTACCCCTTTCATTTTGAACCCCTGTTGGTCAGTATTAGCTGGAGCTGTGATTCCGTGCCTCCCCTCCTCCATTTTTCTTAGTGCACTCCACCTATAAATCTCGTATCAGATTTCTCATATGCTTGTCATAAAAAATCAACTTCCCGATTTTTTAAATTTCCAAATCGTTTGGCTGCCAGGGAATGAGAGAAGACTGGAAGTGTAGTCTTGAACTTATTTTATTTTATTTTCACCCGGGTCTTTGTTCCCTTTGACAATCTCCGTAAATTGCATGATTCTGGGCACGGTGAGTAACGTGACAACATTCGAGTCCTGTGATGTTCCTTTCATGTCACTTTCCACTCCGGAGTCTCCATCTTCATCCCCTTCCAGAATTGTGCTATTTTCACACTTTCTTTATCTTTTTTTCCCTCTCCCTTTGACATGGAAGTACCTCACAAAATTGACACAAACGGTGGATGATGGTGCTAACTATTATTTCTTCCTTTTTATTACCCCTTCAGAGCATCATGGTCCTTCCCCCCCCCCCCCCCTCTTCCATCTTTCAGATAGCGATTGACGAGCGATTCGTTTCAATAAATGTATTTTCTTAATAAAAAAAAGAGGGTCTCTTTGTATTTGTAATTTATTCCATTTGTATTTGCGGACAGACCGCCTTGGCAGCGGCTAAACCAAAAAACTAATTACTGATCTCTCTTTCCCACCGTTGCACTCGAAAACGTCAAACGATAACTCACTCGGCCCTATTGGGGCATCTTCACTTCTACAAACGGTATCATCCAGTCCCCTCTGCCCATGGGAGATAGTTTCAAGGCTGACTGCAAAAGGGCAGGTCCAGTTCTTGTTGCATTTCGTTAAGAGAATAGCTGATATAAGTGGATTGGAAGCATGAATCATAGTCTGACCACGATCAGACAGTCACTGTTAGTTGAAGTCCACTTGACTGGGAGCACTTCCATCAGCCACGCTTACAATTCAGACAGATTCAATAAAATCTAGTCACTCTCTGCTGAGATACCTTTACTGGAAATCGTCCTTCGTTATTTCATTTAACTTCAGTTATGGCTTTCAATTAATGTTTTAATGTCGTCCGTAATTGTTTTGACCCTCATTGACAAATGTGCCTTCTGGAATCCACCTCCCCTGTCAGTCATTCCAAAGTCCTTTTGCAAAACTCGAGGTATCGTCCGTTCCAAGACTCGAGGTCGCTACACAAGCAATTTTAGTTTTCCAGTTCCAGAACCATCATTAAAGTTTTGAATAAGGCGCATTACGTTTAAACTCGAAGTATGTTAACCATTAAGGTTGGCATGCTTTTAATTTGACCTATTGATTGGCAGATCTTGAATTGAGAAAAAAGTACGCAGTCTTCAGAGTCCGTGTTAGGAAAGAAATGGAAAGATCGGCTTTCAGGAACGGCCTTTGAGGAAAGATCGACCAAGACATGGAAGAGTTACGAAGGGAGGTCAAAAAGTTCAGCAACCAAGGCACTTCCAGTTGCAATGCACCATTCTTACTCTTATCATGGGAAGACAGATGTCTTTGATGGTGACTGGCGAAATTTAATCTTATTTGTCGATTAAGTATAGCATTCTATGAAATTTTTTCAATGTGCTACTGAAGGGCATGCTGAAGGGTTATTTAAAATGCGACGAATGCTGTGAGGAATTTTCTAACCTCTAAGGAGCAGACCAACCAGCAGATCTTTTAGAGGAGGGTCAGTTGGATTCTATCCTCTCAGTCTCTGAAAGATCTGCTTGGTGGTCGGCTCCTTAGAGGTTAGGAAATTCCTCACAGCATTCGTCTTAATTTTAATACCCCTTCAGCAGACCCTTCGGTAACACATTGAAAAAAATTCATAGAAGCTATCCTTAATCGACAAATAAGATTAAATTTCGCCAGTCACCATCAAAGACATCTGTCTTCCCAAGATAAGAGTAAGAATGGTGCATTGCAACTGGAAGTGCCTTGGTTGCTGAACTTTTTGACCTCCCCTCGTATGTCAACGGCGTCGGTGCGTGGTAATTCTGCGAGCATTAACATGTCGTTATAACTTGAACAATCTTTCGCTAATTACCTTGACATTCTCGTTGGAGCTCTCTTCAATATATGGCAAAAATTATATCAGCCCATGCTTATCACGGAGGCGTCATGCTGTCATGAAATTTTGGTACTCCAAATTCGTCAAGACAGCGGCTGCAGACCAGGCTCTAGAAAATTGCGGAATAATTCAGTTATTTAAGGTAGTTGAATTATTTCAGAGCAATTGAGAGAATAAAAGTTTCGCGGGGACTTGAATTAAAACTGAGCTAAATCCAGTTACTTTGATGCATTTTCTGTACCCATGTTACAAAGACGATATGAATTCTTAAAACTCTGAAAAAATGCTACCATTTAAATCAAAATTCCAGAAAATGTGAAAAAATGCGCTCCTGCTAAATTGCAATTCTAGCTATAGCTATAGCAATAATTAAACTACTTTATTCGTTTCGAGCAATAGCATATAAAATTTTAGTTGCTTACAGTTTTTCCCAATTGCTAACGTCCGTTTCTCGAAACTATACTTCCGTTTTCAAAACTATATGAACAAATCCCAAAACTCTGCAAACTTTTCACAAAACATCCGATTTCATTGCTAATGTACGGAAAAGGATAAGAAGACCGATTCGACGAGTGCGGACGATGTATCCATGGCTGACGACAGCAATCTCTATTCTCCAAAATTCTTTCCAACCAATCACAGAGGTTTTCTCATCGTCCCGAGTTGTCGCTGAATGCTCCTTCTCAAACGTTGAAATAGTTTCTTACGTCGATAGAGGAATGTAATTGGCAGGCAATAATGCTGACAACTATTCAGAAAAGTCCGAAATACCCGATCCTCAGTATTTACTTACGATTAAGTTATGTTACAATATAATCAGCTACAAAGGGTTGAAAAGAGAGAAAAGAGGTCATTTTTGTTTATCGTAAGTTACAAAATATTTATGACTTTGGAACCCATTTTTGTTCGTAGATATGAGTGTTCATTGCGAAAATCCCATGTTATGATCTCCAGATCTTTCCAACTTATGCTCGCTCTATTGGGTAGTTGAGGGGTTTTCGACCGGATACAACGCCCTGCACCCTTTTGAATGACGGCACAAGTCAAGTGACTTCTCAGAGTAACAGTCTGTCATTAGGGTGTGGGAAGATAGTAATGGGCTCGACCGTCATAACCTGTGACCTGTTGAGGAGCAGAAATTTGCAAATTCCCGTTCCACGAAGGCGAGAGGGGAAGAATGGGAGGGGGGGAGGAGTTTGTGTGCTTTCAAGTAGCACCTCGTATCTCACGCGAAATAATCTCGATGGGCGGTTTGATGGTTTTTACAGGATTAAATCTATGCTGGTTTGATCGTGGTTAATCACTGTTGAAACTCCCGCCGTATGCACATCCACTCAAAAACCAAGCCAGGATTGCATAAGTTGTCAGAGAAGAAGTTGAGGACACAATGATAATTCCTCATTGTATGATCTGCAAAACTGTAAAAATATTTTATGAAAAGCAAATATCGCAGAGAGAAGCGTCAGTGCATTGGCACGAGCACATCATCGGCCAGATATAGCGCCATCTATTATATTTAAAATTGGCATACGGCATACGTGCCAAACGTCCTTCACCGAAGCATATTTTCCAATAGAACACATTGCTGGTGTCCTTTGGAACAAATTTAAGGCCCTCGTGTCAAAATTAACGTCCTTGCCTCAAAAAGTAACGTACGCTCCATTGGAAGACATAGGGGAGGTTCTGGTCGATTTGACCAGGTACGGCTGACAGGGCGGGCATCGATCCGCGAGAATCGTCGCCTTCCCATTCACAGTAATGGATCGTCCTGAGAGTTTTGACGAAGGTGCCTTAAGTTTTGATTCCAGGTACGTTAGAAATTGATTGTAGGACGTTCTGTTTGGACTTTTTGGGAACAGAAATCGAATCTCGACAGCAGTACGTACAGTTTTGGCATGGGTACGTTAAGTTTTGAAAGTCATCATTCATTGAGAAATCGCAGATACGCATATGAGAGCATTGTGCATAACTCTAGCCTGGTCTATAGTTGCGAGAATCTCACATAGTTCTCTCGATCCCGTACGTCCAACATGGAGTCTCAACGGTTATATTGAAGTGAATCATGAAAACACTTGAAATATTAAGCTCGAAAATAAAAGAGAAACCGATGTTTGGACTCCAGAAGTCTTCGTGACCCTACGCGAGAAAAGTCTCTTCGATGTGAAACCTAAGAATTTTTACCTATCATTATAAATTGTGTCTATTGTTGCCTACAATTCCTTATAGTGGATTTCTTTTCGTTTCCATACTAGAAGCAGTGACATACACGTGTATATTATCAATATATCTTCATGGTTCAGGAGAGTTGGAGTTTTCCCCTCAGTCACACATTATCGTCTTTTTATTTTCTTTCTGTATGATACATAAGCGAGAAATCTATGACAAGAAGGGATACGAAAGATCCCGAACTATGCATTTTATCACATGACGTTAATTTGAGTTTAAAAAATGCGAGAAACCGGCAGAAGGGACTCTTTCTGCTTCGATTCCAGCCTCCTAAAGAGATATTATTTTTGTAACCGGAATGCATATTGAGATTGGGGGAAGTATTACTTCCGAAGAATTACTTTCGCAGTCTCCTCTTGACTGTCTATAGACATTCCTTACCCCGTACGTTAGAATATTGAAGAACGTACGTTGATTTTGATAAGGGGACGCACTTTTGACTGACGGACGCATGGATATGAGAAAAGAGCGCAGAGTTTTGCGGATCGTACGTTAAGTTTTGAAAAATGTCCATCAAGATATGAAATAGGGTTCTAGCAATTGGAAAAAACTGTAAATTTGTTATTTTTCGCTTACTTTGACAGCTTATATTTTCCGTTTCAGGTAAGATAGAAAGTAGAGTCTTTACTGGATGGTAGTGTCGAATGAAAGCGCTCGCCAAGCTCTTTCCGTTAATATCGAGTGTATCCGAGAAGAGTGAAACATTTCTTTCCAATGCAGTATTTTTATTTGTTGATAAATAACAGATAACACATACATTAGGCAGCACAGCAATGTGTGTGAAAAATTAATATTTTTCGAAATGATGTTTTATAAATATCATTTCGATATTTTAGAACGTAAGTACCCTCAAAGGTAAAAGATTGACAGAAACCCTGAACACATCGAAATATCGTATCGTTTGCACAATGACGCCTGTTAGGAAAAAGAGTTCCACAATTTTGTATGGTAAGTCAGCGGTTCCCAAACGGTGGGTCGCGACCCACCGGGCTCATGAAGGTTCAATGCGAGTAAAAGGAGGTTTGGGAACCACTGTGGTAAGCTGTTTCCTGTTGATCCAAGACAAAAAAAAAATTTCCGAACCATGGAGAAATTTAAAACCTATAAAAGGAAGAGAAAGATTAGCAAACAATAATTTTTTGTTTATGTTAAATGTGTCAGTCTTCTCTGCGACACCCTGTAAATGACTAATGCTGTTACTTTTGAAATTTCGAATTTGTGTTTTATTTTAACTTGTCATTCTTTCCCTTGAAAGATGCAATCCTAATTTCGAACAATGAGGACCCTGACGACAAAATCAGGTCTGAAAATATTTCAGCAGTGATCCATGAATAATCGGAAGGGATCATGAGGGTTTTGCATCATGACCATGAGCGTATCAGGTTACCACTATTGATGTATTCCGTACATAGGCGCCGACTTCTAGAAAACATTGTGGGGGCAAGGTCCTCATGCTCCTGACATAGCATTGACGAAATCGTTACAGGATCCAGTGGGGTAGCTATGTATTATTATGGTAGCTGCGTGACGAGCGGCGGTGGGGTACTGGGCATGAAGAAGGCCAAGGGTCCTCGCCCTTCTACACCATACCCTTATGTGGTGACGGGGATCTCTAAGTTGGAGCTCTAAACTGATATCATCTCTTTCGTGAAACAGCATTTTGTTTCCCATGTTCCATGTGCCACATTTTTGTTGTACTTTGGCCATTCTCTGGGGGCATTGCCCCCTCAATAACATTTTTGGGGGGCACGTGCCCCTTTGCCCCTATCGGTTCGGCGCCCACGATTCCGTATAAGGCCGAGTTCATACTAGTGCTGTACAGCATGCTGGATGCTGCAACTGCATACTGTCCAATGCAACATGCCCATGTCGCATTGGATTTTGCCGCTGCTGTATATGCTGTACAGCACGAGTATGAACTCGGCCTAACCGATCTCCGCCTGACAGAAAGTAATCCTTGGTCCTTAGGATAAGGATGGTCAAGAGGATGAGTCGCATTAACATGTTGAAGGTATGAAATGAAAAACTCGAGTGACAATCCGAGTTCATCTTCATGGAGGACAGGACAAGGAGTCGAGGAAGGAGGAAGAGAGTATAATTTTAAGCTTTTAGAAAATGAGGAGGCCAATTTTATTACTCTCGCATCGTGGGTCTATTTCTTCCCATGATACATCTAACAAGATGAGGGTGGCCGTTTCACTCCGTACTCAAAGTAAATCTTCCCCCTTTTGCACCGATTATATTTTAAATCTACCTAAAAATACAAATTATGTGCGGGGAAGCGCAACTCTAAAGAAGAACGATAAACTAAAAACGAATGATACCTTTTGAAATGCCGTTCTAATACAAAGGAAGGTAGCGAACGCCATGCGTGCTTCCTTTCATCGTTTATGCAAGATTCATACCAGGATGGACAAATTGGATCGAAAATAAAAGATTTCACGTGATTCATAACACATTTCGAAATATATTATGGGTCTACTTGCTCTGTCATTGGATCAACCAAAACGAAGATATTCAAGACCAACGCAAGAAAATAGAGAACTGCAGAACAATGAATCAAATTTAGATTATTAAGACCTGAGCATCTTTCGCACACAAAAAGGAACACTACAAGTACTGCAATTTCTTTTCTCCCATATATCCCTATGGAAAGGACACAGTCCGGTTTGTTTTTTTGTTGTCACAAGTCTATACAACATACTTTTCAGTTATTTCTTCACTCTGACGATATAGTAGCCTTTTTGTAATTTTTTTTCTCAAAGTAAATTCCATTAATAGTAAAAGTTGGAAAATTCTACTCGGAATCCTTAGGTGCTCTTATAGGAGCTATTGAAAGTTTTAGGCTGAAAGCATAAAGCCACTTTCTGAGTGATACAGTGAAGATAAGAGGAAAGCACGGTAGAATCCTATCGGAAAGATCTGCATCCCTTGTCCACTAGATAGCTGGTAATTTCCTGTCTATAAAGTAAAAGGCCAGAAAAATTAAATGAGAGCAAGGACTGCATCCTTGATGCCCTTCCCTGCAGAACTCTAATGTGATGTCAGAGTGAAGAAAGACAAATAGTACCATTGAAGTATTTACAGATGCACTCTGGGAGACCCAGTTCTTTCAGATCCAGAATAAAAGACTCATTGGTTCAAAGTTTAGGAATGGTAAACACAACCATGTGATGAATTGGGGCATCTGGCTTCAAAGGTCTGGACAATACCCTCTGGAAAAACCTTGAGATCAAGTAAATACAAAATCATACATCATGAGGTATTACCCCAAACATTTTCTGAAACATGTAAATTTAGAGGGATGTGGAGGGGGGGTCATACTCATGTAATATTTCAAAGCAATAGCAGTCCATCTCCTAATGGAAGCATGATTCATACATCTTTAAAATGGATCTCAATTTTTTAAAGTAGCCACCCATTCTTCTGCCATGTCCTTTCATGCACTAAGATTGCATCTGTTTCCAAGCAACTAATGAATGTAATTAATAAAAAAAATTATTTTACTCATCAGGGCTGTAGTGGTTCTCCAGGCCAAATAACATTTTTGCTTTACTTCAGCACTGAACCAGGTTTGAGGCCACAAGCAGTCCCATTCATATGATGATGTGCGACAGAGCTTTTGATAAAAGCAACAGCCAAGAAGAATCATGATAGCTTTTTTTGGACAGGAGTTGATGGTACTGGTGGCCTGCCAGCATTGGGAGGAGCCCTTAAACAACTGCAGTACAATGCAAACTAGACAAGAGACAACTGGAGAAGGGAGGGAGTTCCAAGAATACAAAAACTTTGGAACCAAATCTTGGGAACTGAGAATGGCATGGGTACAAGGCTGAGGGTAGCCTTCCTCTCCTTTTCATAACCTGTTTCAATCTTGAAAGGAAGAACCTATATTGGAAACAGTAGATATGGCAGTTAGAGCCATGCAAGTGACACGTTTAGTTTCAAGGAGTCTGGTCAGAAGGAGATGGAAATGGAAGGGGCAGGAGTTGGTTTGAGGATTCCAGATCACTAGGGCTTGTAAGGGATCACAAATATTGATATAGGCCATTGTCTGTACCAATATTTGTCACTTGAAGACATGAGATCCACACCACATTTGATCAAATCCAGCTAAATCAGCATCCTCACATCCATGATACCAGTATCCAGCATTAGGTCAGCACTCTCACCATGATGATGTACATCATCATCAATGTGATTACCAACGAAATAATGGGGCTTTGCATTAGAACAGAGGAACAAAGTTTGAAAAAAAAAAAACAAGAATAATCATAAAGTTAAGGTAAACAGACTGAAGGCTAGCAGATGTGAAGGACAAGTAGCAGTAGAAAATTGGCACACACATAAAAGCAATCTCTCTATGTGGTATAGGGAAGACATTGATAATTCATTCTAAGCAAATATTTATGAGATCAAGCCATCTCAGATGGCAAGTATTTATAAGGGACATTTTGAAAATTTGTTTGTTTCAAGTCCCATATCATATACATGAATCACAGAAATATTCATCCAGATGCAAAATTCCAGATTTCCTGAGTATCTGAACAGGGAAACAAAAGTTTCTACTGGAAGACCTGAAATCTTTTCCCTCCAACTTCTACCTGGAAATGCAAAAACAGCCATGTTCATGCAAAAACATTAAAAAGTTTCAAGTTCCTCTCATTTAAGTCTCCTCACCTCTGACTCATACAGGCAAATGACAACATCTTGGAAGTCCCTTCTTTGGAGCTTTGGAGCTTTGACTGAATCAAATGGACTGCATGGGTTATGTTTTGAAGATTCTCTCTGCCAAAGACACAAGCAAAAATCATAAATTTCCTTCAAATTCAACTAAAGTAAAAAAAAATATAAAGATAATTGCAGAAAAGTAAAATTCAAAATGGGGAGAACCTGATTAGGTGTAGAGGGAAAACTTAAAAAAGCATATTCCCCCTATTGCCACATCTAAATTTTCAATTCCCATCCTACCTGAACAGTTTTCTCTCCTGATTCCCAAACTGGTGTCAATTCCTATAGCAGGGAAACTGGGTCATCTGATATCAGGAATCTTGTTTCTCTTCCTGATTATGTGGTACTTATATTTTTTTATTACCTTCGCTAATGCAGAATCTGGGAGGTTAATATGATTCATTCCTGATGCCTGAAATGAGCTCAGGAATTTCGATTCTGTGCTGAGCACTGACCTACCTAGAGAAGTTAATCAGACCCACAGATCTTCCCTTTTCCTCTCAACTTTTTTTCCCTCACAAAAGATAACCCACATTCCTCCTGCTGCATGAATTTTGAAAAGTTTGGGAATCAGAGGGAGCAAGAGTAAGTAAAACCTGCTTAGGAGTGTCAGGAACAGGACCAGAATTCATGTCCAATATGGCAGGAGCCATAATTCACAAGGGGAACAGAAACATTTGGGTGTGGCAGTAACAGAAGTCAGAATTTCCTTCAAATTTTTTTTCCCTAACCACTACACATTCTCTTCTGATCCAGTCCTTCACCTCCTCAAAGTTTCTCAGAATTTAAGCATGAAAACTTATTTCTTAACATGACCCTAGAAACTAGAATAATTCAACTAATCAAGTTAGGTGGTTAATAAGGTGAAGTACTGCACCTACATGAAAATGGTTTGCTTAGCACTGGCCTTGAACAAGCTGCAAGATAAAAATTGGATTTTTGTGCCTTTAAAAAAATTTTCCCACCCTTTTTCTTGAACATAATTGATGGGAACATAAGTCTAACTCATATTGCAGTGCATATGTTAATCCCTCCCACTCCTCCATTTGAGTAGAGTGCAAGATATCCAATGCCTTGGGAAGCATTAGCGAAGAAGATAGTTACAGACATTGGCTTCCATAATTACAATGCTCTTACTTTCTTCATAATGACATAATACTTGGATTCTGCTCATTGGCAACAAGATTCCTGCTTGGGAAGTCAAAATTTCCCAGAACATGAAATGCAAGAGAAAGAAGTAGGGTAGAGGCATCAGTTTGTGGAAAGGCACCTATTTGTGGACAGTTTTGCGTTTTTTGCCATTTCACAAAATTCACGCTGAAAATTTATTTCCTCAAATGCTCCATATTTTGCACATGTCTGTCAGCCACCATATAAATTATGCATACCCATCAGCATGAGTGAACTTGGACATTTCTGCTTAGTTTTAGACCTAGCACCCCTGAATTCCTTAATTTTTCCAATGATATTTCTTAACAGGACATCATTGAAGATGAATAAAACTGCCATACATATCTCATGCCCATATTTTTCTATTTGGCCTATGCACGTTCATAATTGTTGACAAAAACTGGTGTCCACAAACTGGAACCCACAAATAGGAACCATGTGAAAATCAACACATATCCATTTAAACAGCAATTGTTGGAAAAGTATATTTTTAATATTTTATTTTAGGGTATGGGCATCAAGCTATGATATGTGGTCTCCCATTGAAACCAATCAAGTGGTTTCTCGATTACCCCAACAACCGTAATGCAATTTTCAAGAGGAAAATTTCCTTAACCCATCTACAAACTGGTGCCTTAACCCTATCATGTACATGTACAAGAAGTTGAAAGGAGGAGCACATTAGTTTTGTCTTCACTGATCATGATCACAAACATGCAGACAGACACCTGTCCCAATGTCACTGTGGTGAAACATTGACAAAAAGTATAATACTGGACAAAAACAATAATTTCAGAACAGCATACATATTATTCTGTCAGTTTAGATATTTACCTAAATTGGAACATAATTTTACCACATGCTATCAAAAGTGAGACTACTTCTCAAAAGCTGAAATACATTTAGATGACATGTTATCCATCATACAGGTTCAAATCAAGATACACCTTGTAATACATAACTTTCCATAGTAATAGAGGCTTCCAAAGAAGCCATCTGGTAAGAAACTAAAATTTACCAATAATTTTGGCTGAAGTGATCAACACATGAAAAAAAAACTTCTTGCTTAATTTCAGTTGAAAATATGTCACACTGAATTCAATCACTCAATGCTTCATAGATTCCATTATTCTTTTTTTCATCTCATCCATCTGTCTATCCAAAAGAGTTAAACTAATCTTCCTGCAGGTAGAATCAGGATTCCATACATATGATAATAGATTTATGGTCAATTCCCTTTTGAAATTAAGAAGAAAATTTAAGGCATTCAGAAAAGAGGGATACAACTTAGGGCCCTACTTTCTTGATGGTGAGCCTTCTCTTCCCACAATAGGTCAGATATGGTGAAAATGAGTCTTTCATTTCTTTGAGCAGGAGGGGTTATAGATCTGACATAGTGTTTCAGTTATCAAGACAACTACACCTGTTTTATGCCACAGAAGTGTGATAGATGATTGCTGACAGCTACAGAAGAAATTGGACAGAAATTAGAAGAATAAGAGCCCTCAGCTAGTTAAAAAAAAAAAAAACATTTTGGATTTCCTGAAGTCTGAAATAAAGAGAGTTCACTTGAATCTATTGTCTATGTGTATCATCTGGTTGCCAGAGACTTTTAGAACATGACTCCACTAGACTTACTTCAGGTTCAGCAGGGGGGCAAGAAAGGCTGGCATCTGAGAAAGAAGGGGATGGATCCTGCCTGATGACAGGAAGCCTTTCCTCCTTCAACTGTAGCTCTGAGTCTTGCACATGCCCCTTCCTTGATACCTCCTATATCAGTATATTAGATTGGCCATATGAAAGCATCTGCAAGAACACATTCCCAAATCTTCAAAACATTAATCAATTTGATGCTGACCATTTTTTGGGACTCCTGTATCTGGGGGAGGGTAGGCATGTGACATTTGATAAGCTTTTCAAGGAGGTTCTTGATCTCAAAGAGTTTGGCAACATGCTTGGCCAGAGGTTTCCTTTCTCCCTCTGGGAGGCCTTGGTAACTCCCCTCCAGCTGTTGGTCCACTGCTTCAAGGTCCAAGTTCAATGCTTCTACCTTCCTCAATAATGAATCTTGGCTATGACCCTCATGAAGGCCTGGTATCAACTCCTCCTCAGCCATTGGCATTTTCCGAATCTTCAGGGAATGTTAAAATCTTTTATTCCCTAGTTATAAAATATTAATCGAATTTGTAAATTGTTTCAGCAGACTTTGATTCATACTGTTTACTGTTCAAAGTCAAATGAAATAACAAATATGCAATTTTTACATTTTTCAAGTGGACAGGAATAATACATTTTTCATGTTTCAGGAAAGAAAGTTGAGGAATTTTTACCTTTGTACCAGAAAAACTAAGATTCTGAGCTTCCTAAGTGCAATGGTAAATATTCCTTAATTATCATTTTGTCTGCAAAAAATATGAATTATTGTCCACCTGAAAATTCTGGAAATTGCATGTTTGCCCTTTTGTCAAACCTGCAACATTATGATCTCTGGAGTTCCTTATGCAACAGAAATGACTGCAATTGATATCTGTGTGATAACTTAGTGATGTAACATGAATTGAGATAATTTTGAACAAATTTACAATGTGTAACTTAATGGTACTGGAAACAAAGTTATTTACCTCACAGTATTTCTCTATGAATTTTTGAATTAGTTACATCATGTACCAGGACCCCCATGAGCCAAAGGGAAACCATTCTTATTTCCAATAGTCCAGAAGGCCTATTCCATGCCAATGGAAGCAGGTACAGGAATACCTATAGGAATCAGGTGAACCAATTGGAATGCATTCACTTCATGAAATTATCACTTAATTGACAAAATATAACAGTCAACCATCTCTGGCAGGGTCGGCCTATGTTTACATCTATAACATAAAAATCCTGTTGATATCAGCTCTCTGATAATATACACCTGGCTGATTATTGGCTAATCGTAGGCAAAAGACCTGAGTTAAAGTTTCTTCTATATGCCAATTTTATATAAGTTCATGACCAATGACAACATAACTAGTGTTTGCAAAAAAAGTTTGCAAAGTAATCACAAAAATAAATAAAAATCTGAATCTCTTATTCAACTGGAAAACAGCTATTGGCTAGATGTGGCAGGGCAATAAACAGTCTTTAAGAGATCTTGTGAAAGCATACATAGATGCATTATTTTAAGGTGATACTTCTCCCCTTAGTGTACCAATTTGATTTCTAGGTCACCATATATTCATATCAAGATGAGCAAATAAAGCCATCATTTTGCTCATTTCTCACAAAGTTCTGAGGGAAGAAGCTGCATTTCTGAGTGTTCTTAACCAGTCTTTGCCTTTGGAAATGGCTTCACCCACTTGCATTTCCCCTGTCAATAAAACTCCAGAACTCTTGTAAAACTGGATATTGCTTTCAGGTGAAGATATCCTCTACAGCAGTGATTCTCAACCTGGGGATAATTACCCCCCAAATGCATGAAGGTTCAATGGGAGTAAAAGGAAGGTTGAGAACCACTGCTCTAGAGTCACGGAGAACATTGTTGGATTGTCTCTGATATACTCAACTTTAAATAAGCTCACATTGGCAGTGTTAGTGTTAAACCAATCTCTACTAATGATTGAGGGAGGAGGGCATTCCAAGGAAACAATGAAAAACAGCCTGTTTTCAGGCAATGACTCTTCATAAAATTGCATCACCATGGTTCACTCGAATTTCTAAAATATAACTCAGTCAAGAAAATTTACCATGTTGAGTAAAACAGATGACCTCTACTGCACTTTCAATTTCTAAAATGCCAATTCAATGAAAAAATTAAAGAAGAGATCCTTGGAAAGCCAAGGAGCTCCACATGCAATTCAATAAGCAATTTCCTCTAAACAAACAAAACAAAAGCTGAAGCAGGAGAGCTGGCACAGTCAACAAGGTAAATAAGAATTTCTCCGTTTCTCAATGCACAAAAAATAACATAGATCTTTCCTAAATTATGAGATGAATTAGAGAATTCTTTGACGAGGAATGATGGTATAAGGCTCACATCATTGAGGAGGGTATGCATCTGCTCCATCTGGGTCAGGTGCTCTCGAGTCAGGGACTCTGATAAGAACTGCATAGTCTTGTCTTGGGATAGTGAGAGCACCCTGTTCTCCTCCAGCTGGGGAAGACACATTCATCACACTTGGAAAGCTAGCATTCAATCTATAGCAGACGTTCTCAACTGTTTACAACTGATGCTACACTTTGCGAGCAATGAGATTTTGGTGGCACTCCTATGGATCATAAGAAACAATAATTCTAGCCTGAATCAGAATTCTGAAAACTGGTATCAGGATCTTAAAATGTCATGCTTAAGTACAACTTGAAACATCAGAAATAAAAACAAGAAAGTGTCTGCTTCTCTATGGAGCAATCACCATTCAGTACAGAATTTAAAAGAATAAAAAATTCATGAAAGTGAAAAATACTAATCAGAAGGCTCTATCACATCAAGCCCATATTAGGAGTATCTACAGGTGAAGAAAAAAGATGAGACACATATAATAAAGTATCTCATGGGCACCCACATCTCTAGCTCAATAGACAGACTGAAAGACAAGTTGGAATGGTGACATGCACCAGTCAACAGAGGATTGATTTTCAATTTTTGACAAAAAAGGTAACCATAAATACAAGGGGGTGGAACCATAAATACATGGCTATGGGATATTGACATCCTTGGGTGCCACAGCACAAGGGTTGAGAAACAATTACCAGGAGAAACAATTACCACAATTATCAAAACATTAAATGCAGATATTGAGGACTGACCAATTCCAGTGCTGATGGTGGCAGGCACATCCTCATCCCATTAACTGTGGATCTCAGGACACTCTGCACACCTTCCCACACCCTCAAAACCACATAAAAGCATTAAAATAATGTAGGTGTACATAGATACCAGTATATGCAAGGGCTCAATTTAACTTTGACTTTTTGAGCAACTAATACATTTTTCAACAGTTCTTATGAAACTTTTAAACATGGATCATCGTATTCTTCAGTTCTGCTACTATTAATGTGGGTATTATGATGGATAAGTTGATGTTGATTTGAGAGAAGAGTTCAATATTTTCTGAAGGTGTGCACTTGAAGAGTAGCACGCACTTAAAATAGGAGGTTGCAGGGGGAACACCAAGCCTTTTGGGACCTCAAAACTGAGTCAAACTCTAAATAAATGGTGCATGGAGCATGCAGAAGGTTAGAAGGATTAGGGTAACACATGCTTTCATTTTTGGATGGCACAATATGCAGGATAGAGCTGTGACTTTACAATGAATGAAGGCTAGAGTTTATTCAGAGCCTGAATTAGCATCAGCTCATGGATGAAACATTTGGGAGGCATGCACTTTCTTTGAACTTGACTTTGAACATGCTGATCATAGATTCCAGTACCACATGTGTGCACACATGTGCCAGTTGTAGATAGGATGCTAGAACACAATCTGAGGTATAGAGTTGAACTCTGACCTTCACAATGTAGTTGAGAACCACCATGAGTATTTGCTCTTTTCAAACAAACTGATAAGTTCTCCTCACACCCATGCTGTGAGGTGAGAAAAAATGGACCACAACAAGGTATTTTCCAGTCACAAGTCTGGTGGTGGCATCTGGATCATCCAGAAGCAATCAGGAATTACCAGCACTTTCTAAAAGAGCTTAAAGAGGCATGCTGCTTTGACAGATTCAGACTTCATAGAGTGACATTGAACCTAATTCAGGAGCATGCATCTTGAAAACTATTCATCCAATGAACTATGTCAACGGTTAAAACGCTTTAAGGCACCCCAACTCTTCATGTCTGCTTCCACAAACTCACAGAACCTTTCACAATGGGATATTATTTAGACTTTTATTCTCAAAGGTATTAGTTGCTCAATAAGTCCATGTTGAAAAAAGGGAAAATAAAGACTCTGACCTGGTGATGAAGTCACTCATATTTTCAACACAATGGCCATTCCTTTGCAATTTCTGCTTGAAATGAGATCCGAATATCTTATGGAGATTGTAGTGCTGATCTATGTACTCTTCTCGAGTACAAGGCAACTAGATGAAAAGAAGTCATGAATGCAACAATACATAAGTGGTTATTCACATGCAATTCATCTGCCAAAAGCAAGTTACCTGCACATTAGATATTAGCAATGGGGGAAAATGGTTAACAGCAATAGTTGTTCATTGAGTGGGGCTTGGCCTTCCCAATATTTTCTGTGATTGAGTTGTCTTTATGACCACATGATGAATTAAATTTACATATTCAAGTTTAAAGGAAAGCTCAAACATTAATTTATTTTCACCAATTGCAAAAAAAGTTAAATTTTGCCTCACATATAGTGAATTCATGCTGAGAATGGTGAACTGGAGGGTAAGGCCAAAAGGATTTCCCTGCTACATACAGAAGGCATCGGGAATCCCCAACAACAGACAATATAAATTCTATAAATCAAGGGAAGGTGTTCTCCTGTGATGAGACAAAAGTATTGTATGTTGGCAACCAATAGCATACACCAAATAAAAAAATTGGGCTCCCACCAGCTGAAATCCAGCCAGTATAAACATTAGTAACTTTGCCAAATTTTCCAGAATATTGGATTTACATTCATAAACACTACAACTTCACAGGCTTATGATGGGTGTGATGCCTAAACAACTTATGGGTCAATAAATCCTGAAAGCCTGGAAATAGAGCCTAGAAAATAAACAATGAAACTGAACCACTTTGCTTAAGCCCCAATAACTGCATCATTCTCATTAAATGGGAGATCATGCTTACATTGCAACTCTATTAAGTCAAGCAAGCACTTTAAAAAATTATGAAGAAGTGGATGAATGAATAAGTGAATTTAGTACACAAAACATTATCCTTGGGTAGACATAAGCCTTGACAGAGAGGTCACTGTTTCAGTCAAATATCTATTACAAGATATTTTCACTAGATTCTGAGACACTGATGTTCTTTTTTCAACCAGAGTAGTCTCACAAACTAATAAACCAGTCTAATCTGCATGGTGATTTAAAAAAAAAAAAAAAAGCAATTAGAGTTGTACATTTCCATGTATGTTCTTTTTAACAAAAAAAGATAAATAGTCCACAATAATGCACGTTCATTCTGGAACAGTTAGGTATTTCATCATAGTCAGCAGGTACATTTCTTTGCAATTGGCACATTTCCTATTTCCTCTACCAAACATAGGCATCACAGGAACAATAAAGCTAATGCTGAAAGGAGAAACGTTCCACTGTTAGTCTGCTTCTGCTGCTACTGCAACTCACCATTCCAGGAGAGGGTTATGAGAAGAACTTCCAAAGCATGAAAAAACCTGCCTACTCACAACTTAACACGTTGGCGACAATGCATCCTGATGCCAGGATGCAGATTTTTTTTCAATGAATACCCTCTGGAACTGTTGAGAACGTTCCAGAAGATTATGATTTCGTAATTACTGATAAAAATTCCAAAAAATTCAACATTTAAAAAAAACTCGGCAAAAAAAATGTTTTCTGGGACCATGCATCCTGATGGCAGGACGCATTTTTTGACAAAAAAATTGCGCGTGGTCCCACGCAGCGGACAAGCAAAAATAGGCTGGTCGTCAATGTGTTAATTGTGAATGCAGAATGAATGTACTTTACTGATGGCAAAATTTCAGTCTTACACGTGGAAGTTAGATATAAAGAGAATGACAAAGGTGATGCTTGGTATGTTTTGAGCTGAAACTGATGCTAAACATGTTGACTGAGTAACTATTCTATAAATTTTTTTAAAAGAAGCCAGCATGACAGAGGTGATAGAATAAGGCATATATGCACTTGGTTATTATGGAAGCATGGCACTAAATTTGGAATTTCTTTTTTTGTCACTGTATAGTGGATGAGCAACACAAAAAATCCTGCAGTGTCAAATTATAATAAGTAGGCCTTGGGGCCTATATTTTTTGTGATCAAATGGAACCAGGCAAAGGAACCTACATGAATATTGAGTTTTTCAGTTATCGATATCCATTTGGAAGCAGGGTCAGCTGGGAACAGATGTAATACAGAGGAAGAAACTGCATCAAGTGAATCTTGTTCGTGATTTTCTAGGTTATACACAACCTGGAATGAGAGGAAATTTGAATGCATGGCTAAAATAATTTTTTCACTAGGCTTAAGTATGCTGCCTCTAAATGATGCCACATTGGATTATGAGACTATGAGGCCCACTGCAGTAACTACCAAAAAGAACATACCAGAACTTTGATGAGGGTCCATAGTCGTAGCACAGTTGCCTCATCAAGTCCCAACTGAGAGGGACGATAGTAAGAAAACAGGCTCTCTACTACACTCAAAAGTAACTGAGAGAGTTCTCTGTTTGGAACTTCTCCCTCCTTGCAAGTCTTCTTCCCATGAGACAAGATTGTTTCAAAAAAGTCCAGGGTGAGATACAAATCTCGATTTCTCCCAAACGAGGGGATAGCACTTTTCATCCAGTCTTCAATGCCTGCAGGAAAAAATCCTTCAATAAGTCCTTTTCTGATTTCAATCATCCACCTCACAGTCAGTTGTTGCCCTTGCTGAATTGCATGCAATATATTTATAGCTATATACTTTTTTTCATCTTCACGATTTGAGCTTGTTCCAAGAAAGGCGTAACCCTCTCATTGAGGGAAGGAGACTTGAAGACAAGAAGGAAAGCAATTCAAGTCATGTACTTGTTCCAAATATACCAGAGTGAAACTCATCAATTTGTACATACCAAAAATTGTAGGAAGTCCTGTTGAGCCTAAAGTAAACTTAAGAACTCTCACATAATTCCAGGTTTCAAGAAGCCTAAATGGAATACATAAGAAACATAAGAACATAAGAAAGTGGCCTAGTTTTCAATCAACTCACTATCTTGCAAGGCTTTGAAGGTAGCACCTTTCTTGAGGGAATGCTCCCAAAACCAGCCTTCAATCTGCCTCTGGGTGTTTATATATTCCATGTGTGGGTCATTCTCATTTTGGATTAGTGATAACACAACTAATGGTCTCCATTGCAACAGCATAAGCAAAGTATATCAATCATGGATTTCCCATTAATACTGTGTAGTTTTAACTTCAACAACTTCTTCTGTTGACTGAACCTGGAGACAAACTGAAAGGAAAAGAGGACATGTGGCATTGCATTTCAAGTGGCATTGAAAGAGAAAGGAAGAAAATTAATTACCAAGAGCACTAATGGCATACAAAGGCCCCACTAATGCAAAAGCCATTATATGATTATTTAAAGAACAAGAAAGGGTAAATAGGACCTAATATTGGCCTAACTCTAGGCTATATTGAAAGTCACACAGTTTTCAGTTATTTTCACCAGAGGCTATCTTGCTTTAAAACATAGGGTTGCACCTTGTATGGGAAACTCTTTAGTCCTTCAATTTTTGACATATTGGAGGAATGAGTTACACCAGAGCACTTGTGGTAGGCCTGTATCTTTGGCAAAAAGTCTTAGTGGAAAGGACAGCAGGAGTGAGCACATACTTTAGGTTTAGTGTTTGGTCACTTTATAGCATTACCATTTGCTTCTCCAAAACCTGAGAGTTCAAGGTTTGGACTGAAACTTCAAGAAGTATTTCTGCTAAAAATTGGATTTTCTAAGCCAAGATCCAAGAAGGGATAATCCCTCTAAAGATAGTTGCTTTTCATGTAAGTACATCTACCTACAGTCTAATGTTAGTTGCTTATAGCTATAACACTCCCATTTTTGTTTTGTCGACACAAAAATCTGATTTGTTCTTAACTCTTTGCAGACCACAATTATTTGTAATTTAGTCTGGCAATGCATAATGCCTCTCTCGACATCACCTCAGATCCCATCCTCCTCATGACAACCTCCAGCACAGGCATGACAACGCAAATCTTGAACTCACTAAGTAGGTCCCGCCGAGGAAACCTGACATAGGAGCTGCTGCAAAAGAATCGAATGTCTAAGTGGACCCAACATAAGACTGCAAAATATTAACGCCGTTCGCAAAAAAAGGCAGCTATTAAAGTTATATCTTCACCCATGTGTTTCACCTATTCATTAACAAAGTAAATCAAGAATCAGCGGAATTACATTCTAGTCGAGCCGATTCTTCACCCGGCTCCTTTCTGGCACTGCTCGCGCCCTTGGGCTCTGCCATAGGCCACTGAGTTGCATCGTGTGAGGTAGGGCTTTGGTACACCTCGTAACGCACCAACCACATCTATCTTGGTACCCTTATGCACTGTGATGGAATACTTTAAGCCTGAGACACATGAAAGTTGATATCAAGCTCCCATCACAGCGGCAATCTAGCAACCAAACCGCCTTATATTGAGCAATGAAATAATGCACTTTTATTCCTTTGAAGGATTCAGCCTTCTCAAGTAACACGACTTTTCCCTATGTAGTCAGAAGGCAGTGGCGTCATGAGTGTCATAAGAGAGCTCTCAAGTAGTAAAATAAATGTTTGCAGGCTCAATCCGATCGGAGCACGAGATCATGAAGTAACTAAAAATCTCAATTGAAATGAATGGGTTGCAGGCTAGCCATCTGACAGTCACTCAAACAAACAAGGTTCTCATAACAGAAGTGAGATGGCGCCTAAATCGCCACCCCAGGAGCTTCACGCTGCGTCATCCCAGGTAGGTGCTTGGATTCTTTCTTGAGGCTGCATCAAGTCATGGCAGAAATTCTAAACCTTTCCTTAGCAACGACACACTTTTCGAGCAGCGAAGTATTAACGACCCACTTGCACACACATGGACCTCTATAAATATAAGCTTTAATTAAAAATTAAGAAAACCAAACCCTGAATGCATTCATGAAAGGTCTATTTTTGGCTGTCTCTTAGAAAGAGAGTTATTTCGGAAAGATTAATTGAAACTCTTCACTTTTGACCATTTCGTTTAGATGCGATACCTGTGCCTGCCCACACGTACAGAAGTTCCATATAAAAAGACTTAATACATAATATCACATGTGACAATATATTGACTCTATTTTTTAAATGCTGAACTAAATTTGGAAAGCGCTAAGACCGTATCATGTTTTGGCCAGATTTTCAATATACAGTGTGGTGCAAAAGTAGGTATACGGTAGTAAATTTATTTTATTTTTGTATTTACAGGAAGAGGATAATGGCAGGGAACCTGAATTTTAAGCAACGAAAATGGTTGTTACAGACGTACTGGAAAATAAATAAACAATAAGTAATAAAAGTAATAAATAAAAAGTAATAAGGAAAAAGCAGCTAACTGTATACCTACTTTTGCACCAACCTGTAAAGTCCCTTAATTCCTTTTGGACAAGTTTGGCGCATATATAGTCAAGTATGTCCAAATACTCCCTGTACATACGACAGTATTTGGTAGTTCTGTTAGGGGATCTTTGCACATAAAATCCATATGAGCTCAATAATTGAACTTGCTTTTTAACCCTTTCACTGCTATGCTTGTGTATTTACGGGCGCCACTTCACATAGGTACCATTCTTAGTCCATAGTGCAGTTCATGTAGTAGTGTAGTAGTAGTAGTAGTGTTTGTGTGAGTACAATTCATAACCGTCACTGCTAAAGTGAGTGGGCATAATTCAAATTAATGTCATCTTTCATCAAACTGACAAAAACCTGAAATTCATTCGCATAGGGAGTACCGCCTCAAACAGAAACTCAGAAGCTAAGGGTGAAATGCACCCATAATCAGGGAGTGTACATTTATCTACAATATTGGGTAACGCATAAAAACGCGTCGAGATTTTCGCGTTTATTTCTCAACTACCAGATGAGGCATAGGCGTAGAAATCACACCCCGTACACATCTATCTTTCCACTCGGTCCCATGAGAAATATGGATTTCTAGTTACTAGGGTGCAACCCCAGCGGCTGTTCGACTAAAACGCCTCGAAATTTTTCATGTCACGCACAGTTCGGAAGGAGGGGCTACTGCACAAGTACGGTATGACGTGAAGCTAATGCCTTTCTTAGCGTTAAAAGTGAAGCTGGTGAGGGATCCAACATGGATCGCTCCATGACCAGAGAGCCAGCATTCGATAGGCCTGGAAAGAGACCACCGTGGAGGAGATCCGCAAGTCCATCACTTAATGGAAAGCGAGACCGCTTGCCGTATGCAACGTCAAAAGAGGACCCATTAGACTTATTTTTTTCGGATACGATGAAGCGCAATATGAAAAATATCCAAGTGTCGAAAAGTCGTAGTGAGTGTACTCTCGCAAAGGAAAGATAAATGTATAAGTGATACTTGTACGCCTCTGTCTTATCGGGAAGTAGAGAAATTAACGCTAAAATCTCGGCGCGTCTTTTATGCACCACCCAGTGCATATGTGTTGGCAAAAGCAAATAGGACCTTCATTGCAGCCCACATTATCGCTCTTGGTATTCTTCCTTGGTACTCTTTCAATTAAATTGTGTACCAGGAACACTCAATATGAGTCAATTTTGATAAAATTTGACTCAGTGTGTACTCCTTCAATGAAATTGCATTAGGGGTAGTCGGCTGAGTAAGCTTCTCGCGGAACCCCAGAATACTAAGGTAAACAGGCTCAGAACCGTTGTGCCGCAGTTACTTAGACCACTCATCTCGTATCTTTCACTCCAATTTGCACATACTGTCGGCATCCAGTCTACGAACACAGACACCGAATGATATGAAGGGAAACGACACGAAGGCCAAGGTATCGGGTACCGTGTCTGAGCGTCCCGGTCCTAAGGACTGACATCGGTTGTGGTGCCTATGCCAAGCAGGCACCTCCTTCCTCTCTTTGTACTGTAACTGATACAAGTCCCTGTCTCGTGCGTTCTACGAATGCCTCCCTCTCTCCCCCCCCCCCTTTTATTGTTTAAATGAAAGAATCCGGGCATTCAACTCTACACAATTACGCTGTCTGCCGACTAATGCCCATTTCCATCTCTTCCATGCAGAACTCCATGCATGACTCCTCTTATACCAATGCAATCAATGGTCGTAAAATGGAAGCGTGTTTATCGCTGGATCATGCAGAAAGAATCAGGATAGGGGATGAAGATCATTTCCTGACGCTTTTCAAAATGTCTCACGATTGACCGAAGGACTTGCTCCTAGGATCAGAGGATCCTAGGTTCATATGAGACTTCCCTTTTGGCGACCTTCAAGGTATTCTAACGGAAGAACAGATCCCCGTTGGAATCATATTCCAGTACCCAGTATCCAGTAAGTTCAGTAAGAAGGTAAGTATCTTAAAGAATACCTACACGTATTGGGATGACCCACGTATATAGGACATAGTGTAGGTATATAGAAGCTGGCAAGGGTGCCGCGGGTGAAAAGAGATTTTTCGTTTCGGCCTGTCAACTAAGTAGTGAAAGAAGGCCAGAAGTCTACTATGCTACTTAATAGGTGTATTCGAGAAGCACCGTAAGGAATGGGCAGGAACCCTCTTCCGAAGAACAGCATCTAAAGTGTGACACTTCTGACTTCACCCATATGAGCCATGCAATACATGTGAGTCAAATGTTATCAAAATTGACTCATTGCGTACTCCTAGAATACACTTTTATTAAGAGAGTATCTATCAAGGAGGAATGTCAAAAACAATATTGCTGCTGCTATGAAAAAAATGCATATTGCTTTTTGCATTCAGATAAGTATGGCTACCTTCTACCTTCTCTTATTCTGAGTATTAAGAAGAGGAAAAAATAAAGTTCATGTCCCGTCCAAGCATTGTAATTTAATCGCTTGAGGTTACTTCAAAATTAGAGTCGCATCTTGATTTTCTGGGCAACCAAAGGCAGGCACAGGTATTGCATTGGAATGAAAAAATTGGAGTTTAAACTCTATTTTTTAAATTAGAATTTTTCCAAGTGACAGTTCAAAATTGACATTTCATGAACGAATTCCGAGATCCTGGTTAGACTTATGTTATCGTGCATGATGGTTCGCGGATGTGGAGGGACGTCACTGACATCTCTCTGTCTGAAAAGGGTGC